CATTATCTCAATCTTCAATTTTGTTGTGATACATTCATAGTTATTTTTTCAGGTTTCTAGATTAATTTATACAAATTCGGGCCTTGCAATATTGGCATTAGCATCTAATGCTGTACATAAATTATGGAGATGGCAGAGAAATGATAGAAATTTGACAGGAAAGGTATAGGTTTCTCAATCATGCAAGATGTAATATTTGATTATTGATTCCCCGAATTTCACTATTTACGAAATAAATTGTTTTTGCAGGCTACAGCTAGCGTAGCACCACAACTATGGCAACCATCAAGTGGAATATTAATGACTAATGATATAAGCGATACGAATCCAGAAGATGCTGTTCCGTGCTTTGCACTTTCAAAGAATGACTCTTATGTTATGTCTGCCTCAGGGGGGAAAATATCCCTATTCAATATGATGACGTTTAAGGTAGCTCACTGCATCATGTACATTATTACCCACCAATCTCTCCCTGGAGGTTTGCGTACGGTCAGGACTGGGTCGTTGAATGCTATTTATACTAGATGCCGGTGTTTGAAGTATCATTGGCTTACAGAATGTCGAAAATAATATTTTCCATATTTATTTACATCTTATGCTGGGAGGAAATGCCTAATATTTCAAGTAATAAATGCAAATACGGCCAAGGTGGTTGTCTGATTGTCGAAGATTTCAACAGTTCTAACAATCTTGAGTTATCTACTGATTTTGCTTGGTCAATACTATGGTCGGGATTTAAAATATGTACTACCTTAGTGGAGCTGTGGAAAATATGGCATGATGTACAGATTTTTTATGTATTATATTTTTCATGTATTTCTATGTTTAAATTAAATGTGTTTCTCAATGCAGACAATGACAACATTCATGCCCCCACCACCAGCAGCAACATTTTTGGCATTCCATCCCCAGGATAACAATATTATTGCTATAGGCATGGAGGACTCTTCTATTCAAATTTATAATGTTCGAGTTGACGAGGTCAAAAACTGTGTTAGATTGGTTTTCTGATTTGCAAGTATAGCTTAGTTTGAAATTGGAGTTTGAGTCTCTGATAATTGTTAGCTCCATAATGCAGGTAAAAACTAAGTTGAAAGGTCACCAGAAAAGAATAACTGGGCTTGCCTTCTCAAATCATCTAAATGTGCTTGTATCTTCAGGAGCTGACTCGCAGGTATGTATTCTGTTCTTGGCTTTATTAGTTTCTGTATGGGGACTTCTGAGAAAGCCTTGTTCCAGAACTAAGCATAGAAGTCCTATGATGAATCACACAGTCCAAAGATATTTGAAAGGAATATCATGTTACTCCAATCTTTATCTTTCGCATGTGTGTATAGTTGACTTCGTAGTCGCATGATTTTTATTTTTTTTTCCCTCTCTATTTTCCCTTTTTTTCCTATATGGCTAAACCATCTATTTTGAGATGCACCCTCCTAGACATTCTCATTTGTCAATCTTATCCAAAAAAGGACATTTCATCTATCAAAAATTGTTTTTGAAATTGATGCAGCAGATTTAGATAAATGCCATTAATGTCCAAGAACAACCATAATTTCTAACCCGAACAAAGAACTCCCCAAAGTTGAATGAAAACCTCTACCCTATTCTATTCCATTTCAATGATATCCAAAATCTCTCTTATCACAATTGGAGGCTAAATATAGCCTTATAAGAAAGTAAAGTACTAATTAAATCTAAAATACTAATATTAGACTTCACACGTTGATGTTAGCATGTATTCATAGGACCGGACCGCATGCATCAGTAAATTATTGGATTTCTCTCTTTGATTTATATTTTGTTAGTTTCATCCATTTTTGCGTTTGGATCTCTTGTAAGCTGTATGACACCTGGTTTTATTTATTCTTTCGTAGTGTTTATTTATTATCATTAATTCATTATTATTTTCTGTAGCTGTGTGTCTGGAGCACTGATGGATGGGAAAAGCAGGTTAGCAAATTCTTGCAGTTTCCAAACGGGCGAACAGCTGCTCCTCTTGCCGATACCCGTGTTCAATTTCATGCCGACCAGGCACACTTGTTGGCTATTCATGAAACTCAGATAGCTATATACGAAGCACCGAAATTGGAATGCCTTAAACAGGTATAGTATGCAGAATGCTCATTATATTCAAGAATCCGGAGCATGCACATTCGATGAATTACATGTTTAGTCCTAAAACTTAGTGAAACATTCAAAATTCAAAAGTTCCCTTTAATATTTTGATGTGTATTGAATAGGTCTTCAACTTTAAAAATATTTCATAGGTCTTTAAATTTTCAATTTTGTATCCAATTAGATCCTTGACATATTAAGCATATTTAACCTATGAGACACAAAATTAGAGGTTCTGTTCAGGACCTATTTAATGCAAAAATTGTAAGTTTAAGAATTTATTAGATATTTTTTAAAGTTCAAAGCCTATTCTAGACACAACTCTGAAAGTTAGGGATTAAACATTTTTTAGTAGTTCATATGGTTAGATTCTAAAATATCATTTTGGCAACTAATTTCCTTCGAACAGTGGTTCCCACGAGAAGCCAGTGGTCCAATCACACATGCAACATATTCTTGTGATAGTCAATCAATCTATGTCAGTTTTGAAGACGGAGGAGTAGGTGTTCTTACTGCTTCAACTCTTCGATTAAGATGTCGAATAAACCCAAACGCTTACTTGCCTCCTAATCCAAGGTGTGTTTATTCATTTTAAAATCGAGATTACTAGACGTGCACCCAATGCAGCCGAGTGGTTATGCACATATTTTTTTATTCTGATGTATTCCATTGTTAATTTATGAGCAGCTTAAGAGTACATCCCCTGGTTATCGCGGCGCATCCATCTGAAGCAAATCAGTTTGCGTTGGGACTGTCAGATGGTGGCGTCCTTGTACTCGAGCCATCGGAGTCAGAAGGTAAATGGGGCACCTCTCCTCCAGTTGAAAATGGTGCTGGGCCAAGCACTGCTTCGGGCGCTGCTGGTCCCGATCAACCTCAACGGTGACATTGATCATAGGAGATGTTTATGATTAGAGAAAAGGCGAATTGCCGAATTAGATTATGTAGATGTAGAATTCTTGAATCAAGCGTGCTAGAGCTTGTCTTATGTGGCATCGTGGCCGACTTAGAGCGAGATGTGGCGTTGTGCAATTGGTTCTTGCCCACCACACTCGAGAGATGTCAAGCTAGTTCTGTGTTTGTAGGCTCAGAAGAACAGACAGAAGATGGGAGGGTTGATTGATGGCCGACAATCGAAGAAATCTGAGATAAACGATGAATTTTGTTGTATCGAATTCGGGCAGACTGTCGTGAAATTATTAATTTCGCCTTAGTTAATTTTTTAATTTTTTTTTTCTCTAGTCTTTTGTGAGAAAAGATATGGTAGATAACAACAATCTGATCTTAATTTTTCTCAGGCTTTCAGTTTTTGTAGCTATCTATTTCCACTGGCTAATTGACCATTTTGTACATTTTATGTGCTACATTAACATGATGACATCCTTTCATTCTCAAAGATATTGATTTACCAAATTTGTGCTCAACTTTTCTCTTCGTATGCATTATAGGTTACTGCTAAATTTGTGCTCAATACTCAATGGGATGAAGAATGCAGAGAGGCTCTTGGTAATGTTTTAACATCACCAAATACTTAACAACAATTCTCATTTTTTAGAAACATCTTCAAAATTGTATAATTGTTTTAGAAACATTATCAAAATTTTGACATTTTCAAAATTATATATAAAATTTGGAAACAAGTAAAGATGTTATTTTTTGTTCCCTTTTTATTTTAAGTTTCATGGTGTTTTATCATTAGTGACTTATAAAATGAGTAAGAAATATTAATAATTAATAATAATATTAAAATTTCAATATTTAATTTTAAAAATAATTTTCACACTTTTATTTTCTGAATTTATAATGTAATCGTTATCTTCCTTTTCTGATTAAAAAAATAAAGAATAAGAAATAATTATTCTTTTAGAAACAAGAAATTGAAATGTTATCAAATATGTCACAAAATTTTTCATTTTCAATTATTCAAAATAGAGTTGGTAGAGAGTGTTAAAGCATTTAGAGTGCGAGAAACAATCTAAATATTGAGATTGAACCAATATTTGAAAGGTTATCTATTCTAGGTAAAAAAATATAGGTTTTCTTTTTACCAAAAAAAAAAAAATTTAAAGATCTCATATATATTTACTAACACTTATAAACATATGCTTTTCAAGATTAAATCGAATAGATGATGCTTTTGTCTTTGAATAACACTTTTAAGGGATTAAGATAAGATGATGGTTTCAAAATTAATAGATGACGGCTTTAAATAGAATAGATGTCGATTTCAAAATAATTGATGACACTTATAAACATGCCATTTCTCAAGATTTAAAGGAATAGATGACGTTTTTGTCTTTGAATAACACTTTAGGATTTTAGATAAGATGACGGTTTAAAAAAACAGATGACGATTTAGAATTAATAGATAACGGTTATCGTATGATTTACCACTAGCACTATTATTATTAGATTAAGTGACTACTAATTTCTACTTAATTGCCATTTGGTTCTAATAAAATTGATTTGTTTTTTTAGTTAAATTACAAGTATAAATTCTAAATATTCAAATTTGTATCTAAAATTTAAAAAGTACAATAAATTATTGAACTTTTCATTTATGTTTAATAGGTCCCCACTCAGCCAAAAATATTGAAYAGATTAAGAATACAAAATTGAAAGTTTAAACGTTAAACACTTGACTTATTAAATATAACCAAGAAAGTTTAAAGAATAAACTTATACTTAAACCTAATTTTTTGGGTGGCACGCTTTCCAAGACCCAATCTATCATATCTATCCTCCCACACATTCAAAGAAAACATGTCATTTTTGCCGAGCGAATCAATCACCTATGATAGTCACGTATGATGACGACTAACGTTCCGTAATGTCATGATGTCAGGACGTTTCTAGAAGATTTAACGTAACCATGAAGAACCAAATGAAACTCTTAGAAGTTTAGAGACTAAATTTGAAAAAAACCCGATGTTCCTATGTGGAGATAGTCTTAACAATTCTCCAACCCATTGACTTTGTGTCTAAATAGTAAATATGACTAAACCTAATAAAATGTCAACCAAAAAGCAACCTAGAAAAAATGGCAATTGTTAACTGCCAGAAAATTTTGACCAGTACCTAAAGTATATACCCTATAGTACAGCTATCATATACCTTCGCTTTACATGTGAAACAAATCAAAGATTTCAGTCGATCAAACTTTTTGTTGGGGATATGAACTAAATAGATAAATTCAAGCAAAATGTTTACAAGAAGAACCTGTGAGAATTCAAGAACATGCATCCGACCCGACCTGCATGTGTGTATTGTCATCTAATTCCGCCTTCGGCCGCCCTTTTTCTTTCTACTGTTGCCGGGGGAAGATTCTTTTGCAGGAACAGGCAAGAGCGTTCCTCCTTTTATGTCATCTGAATCTGTTATGTTATCGAGGGTCTTTTGGGCTCCAATGTAGACGGTAAGATCTCTAATCTGTAACATCATAACCAAAAAGAGATAAGTGCAACTAGTAAAACATTGTATGCGTACGAATTCTCTGCCTCGGAGGATGTGGTACCTGTTCTTCCAAATCATGTATTTTCTCGCTCCTTGACTTCAATGAAGCAAGTTCCCTGTCATACAAAGTGTAATCAGTTAGTCCAAGAGTAACTACTGAGGTGAGAACTTGACCCGTTTCTCTCCTTTAACAAAGGCATATTTGGTAGTAATTTTAGCAAAATGGACTAAATTATAAGTAATCTTGCAAAAAGTGTTCCATAATAAATCATAATGTTTATAGAAGTGATTTTGAATTATTAATATTTGATTACTGATTCTGGACTAAATAACACCTCTGCACACCCATGCTCACGTCATTCCTACTAAATATGCAACTGTGTATCCTAAAAGTTATTTAGAGGTTACATTTTCATTGACTCCTCTTGTAAACTCTCATTATTGGAGGCCTAACACATACATGATAAATTCAATGCCTTTACGTATCCTGCAAAATCAAAGGTTGCTGCAGCCGAGAAAAGAAAATTGTGGACTAGAAAAGATTTTCAATACACCAGCTTTATAACTTGAACTAAGTTCACAACAACTGATTGATTATGTATCTTCAAATCATACTATCGGGCAAGGCAATGCTTAAATCCTATAAACAAAAACTGCGAGATTATGTACCTTTCTTCAATTTGCTTTGCCTTAGTCTGCCACATTTCTTGGTTCTTGATGAGCTTGTGATTTACCTAGAGAGGGGAAGTATTTAGAAAAATACATAATTAGCTCAGATGGAAGAGAAAAAAGGATAAGATGGACATTGGCTATGAAAATATGTGATCATTTGAACCGTGAGAATGAGATATTTACAACGTACATCCATAACAGCATTTTTCTCCTTGACACATTTTTCAAATTTGTCTTGAATGTCCCGAGTCTTGGATATTAAAGCCTCTTCCACTGCTTCAGAAATGGAAAGTTCCCTTTTGCTTTTTGCCTCTGCCAGAAGAGATTCATAATGCTGTCAAAACAAAGGCCAAGTAATTGATCACTATATGCCTGCGTGTGTATGTAAATTCTTAATTAGAGCTGAAAAGAAAAACACAGGTCAAACCATGTACTGAAGTAATAAGAATAAAATTCCGTTTATTCCCTCTTTACTTCAAGCAACTAAGTAAGAATTTTTATGAAGATATCACGTGGATGTGCAAACTGTTGGTCTAGGATTACACTCAAACAATCATGCTAAAAAGTCTAAACCGTGATAACATTGTCCAGAGTGGAATGCTATTGATCATTGAATTGGAAGGTTTTGAGACACATTATTGTCCGATTTAAGGACAGCCATATCTGGCCAATGTTGAATCAAAATCCTGATTCTTAAATGTTCGGTATATTATCTGATCCAATGCTTACTTGCTCGAGTCAGCTGAGTTTGAAGTCTGAGATACTTATGTATCACTGGAGTCAGTCTGAGTTACAGATTCATATTTCAGCATTTGTGACACTTTTCGTTTTGTCTCGTCATATACTGAGATTATGTCTCCATGCATGGAAATATAAATAATGCCAAGAACTAGAATATCAATGCTGCCAAATATTTTAATTGTTACTTCAGAAAAATTCTCAGGAAATTTGAAATAATATATAAATGTCTTCCACAGTTCCACGTGAACTAATATTGTAGGCTAAAGATCATATTGAGAGCAGCAAGAGATATCGAACATAAATAAAAGCAATATCACAATAAGGTGGAAGAGAAATTAGAGAAGCAAAAAATCTAAATTAGGGAAGTTGGATTGCATACTTGTCTCTGAGTTTCCAGCTGGGTCGCAAGAAGGCGATTATACTCATCCACAATCTGTTTGGAAATATATGAATTAAGAATATATACTTGTTGAATGTCGAATGAATAATGTGATTACGTAAATGTAATAAATGCCAGTGCGAACAATTTGCATTATCCAATCTTTAGACCAACAAAATCACATGGATTAAACTTTATGATTTCTCCATACAAATCTCAGACCTCAATTACCTAATGGAAACATGTTTATAAACTAGTAAAAAAGAGAATTTGTGACATATATATGCCAAATAAAATGTCGGAAAAAACATACTGCTTCAACTTTACTGCTGTACAGGGCCTCATTGATTCCAGATTCTTCATCATATTCACAAGTCCCACAATCTCCTTCATGTGACACACAGTGCGAATTCATTTCTCCGAACTTACCATCAAGTTTTGACTGGTTCAAGCGATGAACATAAGTGTCACCAACATAATCCCAAATTTGTTGTGTTCTTAAATCAAGAGAATAACAGTGATGCATATTTTTCCAATGCCTGATTGCATGCCCTTCCTTATACCTAAGATCAACATGATGCAAAAAGGTGGTAAATAACATAATAACATCACAATTGTCATCTATTGTTATGACAAAAAAGTGAAGTATTTTCCAGACGGCACTCTTCTTGAATATGTCAACTTAAAATATATAAGAAGAGAAGTCAATATTAGCATGTACCTTCCACATCCTAGAAAGCCACATATCACGCACACCCAGAGATTTTCCATAGTTCCACAAATGAAGCAAGCTAGTTTCTCATCCTGTTGCTGACAGAATCGACAGACCTGATGACTTGCCAAAAATAGAAAGATGGTGTGATTCTCCAGTTTCAATTTAAAAAAAAATATATCGTTCAATTCCAAAAGGCTTCCCATAAATGTCACAACCAGATTGAACTCATACAAATGTAAATTTTTGTATTGCACATTAGTGTTCTATGTCATATCATGAGAAGGTGAAAAGTTCACGTAAAGATAAGTTCATTGACATTTAAATCAGGGTGTACTTTTGGATTTATAATTTAAGAATCTCATAAAAAACACACGAACTTCTACCTCAGCAGTAGTTTTCAGGTTTTTGCAGGAATTTTGCAATTATTTAAATTATAGAATGAGAAAAACAAGTTTCAATATCAAGGCTCCTTATCAGGTGAGGTTCAGAAGAAAGAAGACTAATACAAATACAAAGAGATCAAAGAAGATAACAGAGGATTTGCTCACCTGACAAGATAAGGAAGTCCATTTTGAAATGCAGGGGCAGTGAAATGAATGATCACATAGTGTGCGAATTATTCCGCTAGTATCAGGATCCAGTCTCTCTAACATTCAAAGGGGTTAGTTTAGAAGAATTTGACTATCAGGGCTCAAGCAAATTAAATCAAGCATCAGATGAAATGTGCAGACAAAGGAACTGAAACACTTGACTCACCCAGGCAAACAGGGCAAGTAGGCAATTCAGTACATCCTGCAGGAGGCGATCCAGCTACCTCTGCTGATTCTGTGTACTCGACAGATATCAGAAACAGAATATGACATACCTCAGCCTAAAAATGAATAATATATGCCGCAATATTATATAAGCAATGAGTTCATGAAATCAAATAAACGACTGAAATTGCAGTACTTGTACCTCAGCGGGAGAAAACTTCCTGCCATTCAAATTGCCAAAAAATCCATCGGCATCCATCTGATTTACAAGCTTGATCAAAACACTATATCGTTCTTCCACTCCATCGTTCCTAAAAATTCAATCAGGGGACATCAACCAAGAGCGGAGCATGTGAGAAACCGGAAAAGTAATCAAACTTCCACCAACCACCCTTCTACCACATGCACACTAAATTCCGACGATTCCATCGCCCCAATGTTCTCCTTAAACGTAGTGATTATGATAATTCACAATAAAAGTGAATTTTGTATTCTACTTAACAAGATATTACAATCACTGCCTTTTTCATAGTAGAGGCATTTAAACAGAAAAATACAAACTGAATAACAAATATTAACCGAATATATACCAGACTAACTATTCAGTTATATACATATAATAGTGATGGTCTCACCCAATGCATAGAAGAAGGACAAGCTATTTCCAAGAAACTTCCAACGTAACAGTTACAAAAAAAGTCAGAATCACCAGCTCAATTGTGCTTCATGTTTGCCGAAGAAAAACTCAAGGAGAGAAGCCTTGGAAATAAAAGATTTCAAGTCTTAATTGAGATTCATTAGCCAATTGCCTTAATTAGACGCGTTATTCATAATTCAACATCAAAAGAACCTTCTCTAAGTATGTTTGTGATCGGAAACCAAGAAACCAAGAACTCTCAGCTCCGAGTTGTCTTCAATCAGTAGCATTCGATTCATCGGTCAAAAAGACACAGACAAAAAGAAATGTACGAAAAGGCAAGCAATAGCAAGGGTTACCTAATGAAGAGAACCTCGGAGACATGGTTGATGCGAGAGCCACAGAAGCTGACGAAATCATCGTATGATAGATAGTTTGGAACAGCAACAACAAAGAGGATCGTGGATTGAGAGCTAGGGTTCGGCAACGATGAGTGCGAAACGCTTCGGAATAAGTGAACAACACCTCTTCGTTCGCTGAATTTCACGTCGGCAGAAGAAGCTGTATGGTTTCGTTGCCAAATCGTGCTGGTAGTTGAAGATTCGTCCGCCGAATTTCCGACGGTAAGAGGATGATCGGTGTCCACTGAATGAACTTGCAGGAAAAACATGGCGGAGGCTCCGTCGGAGTCGGTTACACAGAAGAGAGAGAATTTTAAAGGCGCGGTGGCCGGAGTTGTGTGAATTTATAAGCCACCAATAATGCATATTTTTTGTTTTGCAAAAAAAAAAAAGGCTAAATTACAAAAATACCCCTAAATTTACCACTTATTTGAATTATACTCTTGTCCCTTCAAAAAGTTTAAATACTCTTACTAGGGGTGTACATTGGAACCGACCAAATCGATCAAAATGACATCAGTTGGCCGGTTTCACCATCCCATCTATGAGCGGTCGGTTCTTTGCATTGTCGATTCGCCGTCCTCGATCGCGACCCTACCCTTGCTCACTACATAAACTGTTTAGAAAAAGAAAAATAGTCAGTCCATTGGAATCCGACTGTTTGGTCTATCGGTGGGAAGCCACCAAAATGGTCGATAGATTTCCAGACCTGAAAATCAATTAGAACACTGACATAGATTCCTAGCTCTCACCTTTCGTAAAGGTTTTCAAATATACCATTTCACCCAAATTTAGCTAATATTTTTAAGGAAAAATTGACATGGTAGAATATGAAATATTGTGACAACTAAAGTTTCAATTTTATCTTAAAAATTTTATTCCTCACTTTTTAAGACTACTTCCTAGTTTTTTCTTTAAACAACTTCCTCTGTATTTCTTCCTTTTTCAAACTTCATCTACACAAATTTTTACGTTCTTTTTCTAATCATTCTAGATTCTACCATATCAATTATCATTCAAAATATTAACAAAAATTTGTCGAGAGGAATTTTTAAAATATTTAGGGAGGTTTGAGGATAGTATTCACAAAACTACGTGAGTTTTTTTTAAAAAAGAAAAAGAAAAAGAACAAACCACAGTTTTGGGGATTTTTTTGTAATTTAGCAAAAAAAAAGTATTTTTTGATTGTATTTTAGTCTTTAAAATTCGGCAATAAAAGAAAAGAAGAAAGAAAAAGAAAAGCCACGTCATCACCATCAAGCTCGAGAGCTCACCAAGCTGTTGCTTGTACTGGACCCCCAGAAGCCTCTATCAGCGTTCTCATGTCGAACGTCGTCGTGTTAGACAATGGCGGCGGTCTCATCAAAGCCGGCCTCGCCGGCGACGTCGACCCCTCCGTCGTGATCCCCAACTGCCTCTACCGCCCTCTCTCCGCCAAGAAATGGCTCCACCCTTCTCCAATCTCCACTTCCTCCTCCTCCGCCGCCGCCGAAGTCTCCTCCGAGCTCGACCTCACGTCCGCCTCCGTTCGCCGTCCCATAGACCGAGGGTATCTGATAAATCCAGACCTCCAACGCGACATTTGGTCTCACCTCTTCACCTCTCTTCTTCACGTCAATCCCTCCAGTTCCTCCCTCCTCCTGACGGAACCGCTCTTCACTCTTCCTTCCATTCAACGCGCCACCGACGAGCTCGTCTTCGAGGACTTCAATTTTGCTTCTCTCTATGTTTCCGACGCGCCGTCCTTGGTCCACTTCTACGAGGCCAGCCGTCGTCCGACCAGCCTCCTATCCAGGGCACAGTGTAGCCTTGTTGTTGACTCTGGATTTTCCTTCACTCATGCTGCACCAGTGTTCCAGAACTTCAGCCTGAATTATGGAGTCAAACGGATCGACCTGGGAGGGAAGGCATTGACGAACTATTTGAAGGAGTTGGTGTCGTATCGCGCTTTGAATGTTATGGATGAGACCTTTATCATGGATGATGTCAAGGAGAAGCTCTGCTTTGTCTCCCTCAATGTCTCCCGGGACCTGCAGATCGCGAGGTTGTATATATTTTTCTTCTTTCCTAAATGATTTCTGTTGGGTTTGTTTCGAATTCCCCAGTCTGTTTGCTATTTTTATACCCTTTTTTTCCTGGGAAAATGTTGGTGAAGAACTTAGAAACTTAGAACACTACCTATCAGGTTGTAAGGCTAGCTATATGGCTTCTGAATTTTGTTACCCCCATTGAATTTGCTGCAGAGTTTCTTTTATGTATGATTTCTCATGGATTTGTTTCGGGCTGTTTATCTTCTCTTAATCTTAGAATGGTTGGTTTCCTGGTAAATATGGGCAAAGGAAAGTGAAGTTCTTCAGGTTATAAGGCCCTTTGGCTTCTAAATTTGTCACCTTATGAAGTTATCTTGATTTTGTGTTTTTTACCTGTAATTTTAGTAGCTTGGCTGCTCAAAGTTCTTCTGGCTTTGTTTATGCATCTTTCTTGAACAAAAGCTATATTCTGTTCTGAATTTTCTTGTAGGAAACCCGGAAAGGAAAATCTCTTCCGGTGCACGTATGTACTCCCCGACGGCATTTCGTATACAAAGGGTTTTGTTAAAAATCCAGATGAAGCTCAGAGGTACCTCTCCTTGACTGATGAGGCCTCATCCCCTTCCCCGTCATTTGGAGTTAAGAAGGATGTGATTGAGCTAGATGTCTCGGAGAAGCCTGAAGACAGGAAGAGAATTGATCTAACAAAAAATGTAAATTCTCATTTTTGTGAACCAATATCAAGCTTTCCATTTCTGTTAAACTCAATCTTCATGCCTTTTGCAGGAATTTGACTTAACAAATGAACGCTTCCTTGTTCCGGAAATGATATTCCATCCTGCAGATTTGGGTCTGTACCATTTTCCTATATTTTTGGTTTAAAGTATGATCGTGAAGGTTAATAACTTTGGATGAAAAACCAATGCCTCTCCCCCTCTCCCTCTATCTAAGGGACTCTTATCTTGATCAATCAATTTTTCCTATGCTGTATCTGCTGAAGAACTTTCTTATTTTTCAAACATAATTAACAAAATTCGGAAGAATCTAAGAATTCTAGAAACTTTATGAAGAATCCTGGGAAATTTTAATTATTTCGAATAAAAAACTTGTAAAGCTATTTCTTGCTATGTGTATTTCCATTCCATATGGACTTACTCAATCAGTTGCAACAGGAATGAACCAGGCTGGCCTAGCAGAATGCATTGTTAGAGCTGTTAATTCTTGCCATCCCCATCTTCACCCCGTGCTATACGAGAGGTAGTTTTGTTTACTGTGGATTGGTGGATTCATAAATAGGCATCGGTTTCAATCAACTCGAACTGATACTAACCATTGTACTTTCAAGCAGCATTGTTTTGACTGGTGGAAGCACTTTATTTCACAATTTTGCTGAGAGATTGTGAGTCCTAATCTCCTTGATCTGATAGTTTGTAATGTCCTGATTCAAATAAAACAATAATTTGACATTTGATTTCAATTTATCGTCTTAGAGAGAAGGAGCTCCGGCCTCTTGTCCCAGATGAGTGTCAAGTGAAGATAACAACTCAAGAAGAGTAATTTATACGCCCCGAAATGTAGTTCTTTTTAGCTTTTATTCATACAATGCAATGCCTTGACACCATTCGTGCTTATTTGTTGCAGTCCTGTTCTAGGGGTGTGGCGAGGGGGATCCTTACTAGCATCTAGTCCTAGTTTTGAAACAATGTGTGTAACCAAGGCTGAATACGAGGAACTTGGATCGGCTCGGTGTCGGAAGAGGTTTTTACATTGAGTGCTTGAAAGCATGAAGGTAACTCCTAACTTTTACTGAACTAGATCAGTTATTTATGAACCAATTGCTCAATCATTTGCTCGAATGGTTCTTGAGCATTAACTATCGTGTAGATTTTCTCTAAGTTTCTGTGCATAAACACGATCGTGCACAAAAGGAGGAAGAACTAAATGATCAGTTGATCACCCCCTCATGGAGCTTTAGCATCCAATGAAGCAAGGTTGAAGCTAGCTGAAATGGCGGCTCATTCAGGCAGATTAAAGGTGAAATGATTTATCTTTCTTATTACATAAGTCACAACTCACATTTAACTGCTCAATGTTTTGGCAACCGTGAGGATCTTACAGCTTCCAGACTCAGTTGAGGGGAAGGATATGGCCAAATATGGATTTTTTTCCGTCATTCTAATGTAGTTTTTGAAAATAATGTAAAAACAAGTAGTTTCTCAAGTACTAACAAGAATAGGCTACTTTTATTCAATACGAAGAGATAAATCAAGATGATTTTTTTGTAGACTAAATGTCTCAACTTACCAAGTGACTATTTATCCAAAATCTTCTCTCTTTACTTGATAGTAAATCATCTTTAAATGCATCTTTCTCAAAGATGATATATCATATAGTTATAATTATTTCGAACCCGACCTCTTTTTTTACCCCGCCCAAAAAAAAAAGAAGCAAGTTTCAAATATTGACATTGATGGAGATATCACAATCTCAATTTATTGAAGATGTCGATGATATTTTATTGATACTGACGTTGACATTTATATTAAAAATATCGACTCATCTCTTCTATTGATTGATGCCAAACCTTTCAGCTCATTGTAACATCGACACGTCGATGATATTTTATTCCATGTATGTCAGTGAGCAGGTGTTTGTGGGTCAGTTCTGAGCCATGGCAGGGACCAACTTTCTGCTGAGAATCAAGTTTGGATCTGAGGAAGTAGATGCAAAATCTTCACTGTACTGATTGCTGAGGGTCCACAGTAATGCAGTAAGGACTTGTGTATTTGATTCTTGCTCTGGCTTTAGCTTTGTTATTGTATTCCAAGTTCCAACATCTGAATATATGGTCTAATTGCCTCTCACAGCAAAGTTGTCAGTCAAAAGATTTATTTGCTCTGTTTCTCATGTCTACTGAATCTGTTTGGTTTGCTTGTGGAAGCCTGCTGGTGTAAATTTGTCATTAAATTCTTTGTTTTTCTGTCTCTGGATGATGCAAACTGTCACATTAATGCTTGGTTGATCTTGACATTTTATTGTGCCTGTTCTCAAGGAACATATTGATTCTATTTTGTAAATTCAGTCCGATTTTTCAAAAAGTTATTCTGTTTGTAAAGCATGTATAGATATGTATGGGGTTTTCTAATCTTTTGTATTGCAACTATTCTATTTGGCCCCTTTCTAAGAGTATCTCAATGATTTAGGACTTCTCAAATGTCATATTGTACTTTGTATAGGTCAAAATACCCTCAAACGTTACGTGGGAATAGAGATTCGAATCTCCGACCTTTTAGTTGATGATATATGTCTTAACCAGTTAAGTTATGCTCAAGTTGGTAGAAGACGGTCTATCTTTGTATAGAGTAAAAGTTTTTTCTTGAAAATTAGGTTCTTTAAGAATAACAAAGATCTTGTATGTGGATTAGGGGATCTTATTTTTCTCGGCCAACTATATGGTCTCATCTTAAAAACAAGTGAATGAGAAAAGTAGGGGGCAGTGGAAAGGAGAGAAAAGACGTCGTTTCGCTCCATGAATATCGTGAAAATGACATCGTTGTCATTTATGTGAGGTTATTTTTGTAATAACTAGTCAATTGGCCACATGCAGAACTAACTAACGTGCAAACCAATCAATGTGTTCTAAAATGAACATCGACGTATCGGTAGGTGGTTATTGTCTACCAATTGAATTTACATTAATGACGTCAAATTGGTCCTTTTTTTTTCAATTTGTAATTTACAATTTTAAGCCCAAACTATTTTTTAAGCATATTATATTTTACAACCGTTGAAATCAAATTTTATAATTATTTTTTTGAAAAAAAAAAGTCAGAATGGAATCCAATTCACAATACCAAAGACAAAAAGAGACTTTAGAATGGGCGAAGGGCCATTGTTCTTGAGAATGTAAACGACATGTTGGTTGGTCTCTACTCTCTATTCCATAAAATAATGTCGCTTTAGTGCGTAAAAACTTCTAAAACGACGTGTCGCCATCTGTTTTTCGAAAAAAATAAAAAAGAGAAAGAAAAAAAAGCCATTTTATTATTCCCCCGACTGTGCTTCCCACCAAATCAGAATCATAAAGCAGATTCTGATCACCTTATTGGACGGCCCAGATTAAAGATTCGGTACATACAGTCATGTCGTTTTCCAATTAATTGAAGCAAGCGACATGTCGTTTTGCTTATGTTTGATTCTTTTACAATGAGTATGAGGTGGCTATTTATTATTTTCCCCCTTTTTAAATAGACAGGTATTAATTATATTGAATTTAGGATGATTTTTTAAATCAATATTCTTTTAGTGAAGCTATATTCCTACAAGCATTTAAGGAAGAAGTACTATCAGTGCTTCCTCTAAATTACTTAGGACTATTTAACCAAACAAGATCTAAATTTTTAGAAGTGATTTGGAAAATACTTTTTATTTCTCTAAAAATTATTTTAATGAATTTTTCTTTTATTTTTGAAAATTTAAGTAAGTTTTTGACGTTTATTTGATGTAAAATAATAATCCAAGGTAAAATTTTCTTATCAATTCATAAAGTTTTAACAAACACGTTTGTGGTTGAGATTGAAACTACAAGACAAGAATGGACCATTCTGCCGATTTTCTTCGAGCTTCTCTCATATCTCTTGCTCTGATATTTAATATCTAAATGTTCATCAATTTTAAAATTTGGCAAGCCTAATAAAATTTCATTGATAGTCCTTGAACATATCAAGCTACTTTCCATGTTCATCATTTAAATTTAAAATTTTCAAATTTAGTCAACTTTTTATTAAATTTCATGTTTAATCTTACTTCCAACAACTTAAGATTTTCACGTAACGAAATTTGATCCAACGAAGATTTGACAATAAAAAATGAAGGACGACAATGAATTAGTTTAGCTTTAGCTTTACTAGCTCCCTAGAGGCCTACCATTACTATTCATCAATTGGTTTTGATTTTAGAAGATGAAAAAATAACCATGAAGGAAGGGCAATAAATTTATCTTTAGAAAGAAAAAGAAAAATTCTCTTATCTATTATATTGAGTGTACCAAAGGAAAGGCTAATGCAATCATAGAAAGAAAAAACAAGAGTTGACTTCAAATTTGTCTTTATTATTTATTGTAAGGATAAAGAGTTTTAAAAGCCTATTTTTTAGGGGAACAGCAATATAAATATACACAAAAACATCCAAGCTGTTGTATCATAAATTCACATCAAAATGCATGCAATTTTGGAATTACTTGTCTTTGTATATTTATATTTTTAACACGTTGGTCCTTGGTCCACACATATATATATATATATGTGTGTGTGTGTGTATATCATATATGTATAATAGTAATTACTTTTGGTTTTGACTTTGGCAATCAATCATTACTTTCACTTCCTAGCATTAGGAATTTAATCATTATATTTATGAAAAATACATAGATTAAGTCATTGCCAAAGAATTTTCAAAGGGAAAAAGTGGAAACTAAGATTTTGTTTTCAAAACTTCACTTTTTATCTTGATCTCAGACATAGAGTATAACTTAACTGGCCGCAAGTCATTACTTACCTTTCTAAAAATCGGAAATTTGAATCTCCACATCTTTGGTTGAACTAAAAACACACTTTGAAATGTTCTATTTTTATCTCTTAACTTTTCATAAAAATTTTCATTATATTGAATTGTGTGTTCTAAGTGGCATCTTATCAAGCATGACATACCACATTAAAAAGAAAAAAAAAAGTATTTATAAGACGATAGAAATCAAAACACAAATTTGAAGAGTATGAAGAATTAATAAAACTATCAAAAATGTGAATCCCATGTCGATAAGAAATAGTAAAAATCTTAGGCATACAAGTAAGAAAATCATCTCCATTCATGTCAAACTTTCTAAGTAGATTTTAAAAGTAAAATTATGCAATCTTAAACTTAAAATGAAAGTATTATATTATTGTAAAGATACAAAAAATGCCAATTGCCTTAAAAAGGAAAAAAGAATAAGTAAAAATAAAAGTTTAAAAAAATGGCAAAATCATTTAAAGCATTGATATTGTTAGAGCAAGATAAAAAGAGAAATTAAGGAAACAAAAACTTGCTTAATCTAAATCTAACAACAACGTTGTTTTAAGACAGTTTTGTTTCCTTTGTGGTATTAAAGTGTCACCAATAAATTGTGTCATAGGATAGGACAGATCAATACTAACCAATAAATGTAGTGCTTCAAACACATAACTCAGTGAATATTAACATCTGAAAAATCGTACAGAGAAATTTGAGAGAAATTTCTTTCGTGGGTAGAAGAAGTCCTGACAGACATATTAATTGTTTCTTTTTTTTAAAAAAAAAATATTATTTTTGTGAAAAGTTGTGGTTATTTATTTATTTATTAAAAATTCTATTCCTAAGCTAATGAATGTGGTAAAATGGGGCTCCAAAAGCATAAACTTTGAGTGGATAAAAAGAAAGGGGGGAGAGGGGTTGGTTTGGTGACAATAATGGTCAAAGTTTGGTATTAGAATCTTCTGTTCTTTGTAATGAATATAATTGATGTTGATGGTACTTTCTACAAATTATTATTTGTCTTTCAACCCTTCATATTGTGAGGGGTAAAAATTTTTGAACTCCCTTTTTTGCCCTTTGTGTAATTTGATTGGTTGGAGTTGCATTTTACTGTCACCTATCTTTAAGATTTTGCATACTCAAGCAAATCTTTATGTGGTCCACCTTACTTTGCAAATAATCAAAAGGGCAAAGGAAAGAAAAAAAAGTTTAACCCTGTTTTCGTCCCGACTTTCATGTCTATTCTATTTTGATCTCTAAGCTATCAAATGTTTTTTTGTAGTCCCTAACAAGAACATACGTAGTTCAGTATTAACTTATCCTCTTGAGATTAAAAGTTTAAATCTCCATATTTCACATTTGTTGTACTGAAAAAATCGAATCTATTATATTTTCACAAAGTTCCACCAAATTTGTGTTTGCAATAATTTTTTTGAAAACCGAACTCCTACTTTTAGTGTATATTTATTTGAGGTGAGAAATCTTTTATGATAAAACTTTTTAAATAAAGACAAAACACTATTTCTTTCTCACATGAGATTGTTGTTTTTAAATTTTTAAAAGGTTCAAAGATCATTCTTTTTTCTTTTTTTTTTTATAATTATTATTTGTCTATATGCTCTTAATTTGAATACATAGCATGGCCAATGTACTTTCTCTAAGCTTCCATTTTAATATAGGGTCTAAGGGCTTAATATTTTGATTTCTTAATAACATGTAGTTTAATAAAGATTCATTGATTAATACTTTAAAACTAAAAAGAAAATTCATGGATGAATAAAGCTAACAACCAAAAGTAGAAACATTATATTTAGGGAGAAAAATTAAGAAAAGTTTGTTTTATGTTAAAAGAAGAACATTTCCCTATAATGATTTTAAACTTGTTTTCATTAATATATTCTTGGAATAACAATTAAAGCACACATTGAAATTGTTTGTTGAAAAGATAAATTCATTTACATCTCTAGATGTCAGGTAGATTTTGAGTTATGGCATGAAGAAGAACAATGGCTACACTTAAACTCTTAGCCTGAAAATAACTAGAATGTCGAATTACTAGCCCGAAAATTACTCGTATAATAGCACGATAAATTTTAGTTCTTTTATAAAAATAACTTATTCGATCACATATGAGACAGTTTTTGTTTTCTTTTCTTAAAAAATATACTCGTACCTATTTAAATAGAGTATCTGTTTCCCTCTCCTTTCTATAGCAGCGAAAAACCGGTATTTTACAGATCTACAAAAGTTAGTTTTTCTTTTTCCTCAAGGTAGGTGGAAGTTCGAACTCTCCATCTTTAAAAAAGTAAGTAAAGTTTTAACTAGTTGAATTCTCGTCGTGTCCTATCCCATTAACTCCTCAAAACTTATCGTATTATTCAACAGTATTGCAGACATTGGACATCAATTCTGGTGCACATCCAAACACAGACGTCTCAGTCTTAACCTTCCAAAACCAAATAGCAAACATGCCTACTTTCAAGCTCTACCCAAGTTGAAAAAGGCAAGGGGGGGACATCAAATAGAGATAGGATGAGCTTGCCACTTGGGCAGTTTCAGCTCCCTGTAGATATGGACTTGTCATGAAAATGGGGGGAAAAGATGGAGAGGGAGAGGGAGAATGGCCAAAATGCAAAGAGAGAGAGGAGAAAAAGGAAGAAAAAAAAGAGAGAAAAAACAGAGCTTTGGGGGTCACCCCCATTGTGATTGTGAAGGCTTTTTCAAAGTGGGGACATGAAATGAGACATGAGAGAGTGGGTATGGCATGCAATGTCAGGGCTGTGTCATTGGCCACTGCTCCACTACCTCATTTCTCAATACTCTCTACACTACAACCAAAACCCAGAAGAAGATGATGATTTGGGTAGGAAATTTGTTGGTTAGCTTTTTGGGGTTTTGATTTTGGGTAGAAACCCAAAACTTCTGAGAAACCCATTTGCTCAAAACTTGAGAGCTTTGTAAGGTGGATGTTTGGGGAAAAGAGAACTTCCACTTCACTTTACTTTAGTTTTACTTTACCAGTGTTGAGGAATCAGATGAATTCCGATTCCAAGGAAGGGGAAAATGGAGATAAAGCAACAAAGCAAAGACCCAGAAGAATAAGAAGATGATTTGGGGGTAGAAATTGTGGTTTTTATGAAGATAGATTCAAAGTCCATGAGGGATGGGATGTCGCTGTTTTGGGTGGTGGCCCATGCTCAAGGTAATTGATGTGCCAATTGCTGAATGTTGTGGCAGGGAGATTTTACAGGCACTTTTTGAAGCCCACCCCACCCCCTCCACTCTATTTTCCCCAATAGGTGACACTCCCTATACACAAAACAAGTAGATTGAACATCAAACTTTGGGGTAAACTATCTTAAATTATTGAAGAAGACAAAGAATGAGAAAGCTACCCTCCCTTTCTCTCTCCAGTACCCAGCAAAAACTGTCCCATTGCTAATTGGGGAACGAGAATGGAGGATTAATAGAGAGAGAGAAGAGAAAAGGCGAGAGCAAATGCAAATCATCCAACCCCATCTCCGGTACGAGTGATTTTGGGAGCTGAGAGTTTCGAATCTTTTGTTTATTTTCTTTTCTCTTCGTCGAAGATTTTGTGCTTCCGCTGGCTTAGCCACGGGGGAACGAAGATGCCGCGGCCAGGCCCGAGACCGTACGAGTGCGTGCGGAGAGCTTGGCACAGCGATAGGCACCAACCCATTAGAGGTTCCATCATTCAGCAAATTTTCAGGTTCTGGGTCTTCTTAATTTTGCTGATTTTCTTCCCCTTCAATATTGTGTTTGTTTCTGTTTTCTTTTGTACATTTTGGTGAATTGCCCACCATGTGTTTGATCAGGGTTGTCATTGAGAATCATAGCCCTGCTACTAAGAAGAACAAGGAATGGCAGGAGAAGTTGCCGGTTGTTGTTCTGAAAGCTGAGGAAATCATGTATTCTAAAGCTAATTCCGAGGTATCTTCCCTTGACCCTTCTGGGTTTTGCTCACAATTCGGATCTTGTTGTGTTTCAAGTTTGGGATTTCCTCCCCGTAATTGCTTACTTCTTCTTGCTTAGGCTGAGTACATGAATCTTGAGACACTTTGGGACCGTTTGAATGATGCTGTGAACACCATAATCCGAAGGGATGAAAGTAGTGAGAGTGGAGAGCTTTTGCCTCCCTGTGTTGAAGGTAAAAACATGGTTGCATTTTCAAGTTTTTGGATCTAATGGTGAAAGTATGCTCTGTGTTTCCTTTATTGGAAATGTATTGGGTTTGGTTTGTTTTTTCTTTTGTCATCCGTTTCTGTAAACTCAAGCTGTTATTGTTTTGTTTTGCTTTGTTTCCTTCTCTGTGGTATTCAGCTGCGCTTAACCTCGGTTGTGTTCCGGTACGAGCTTCTAGAAGCCAACGCCACAGCAATCCGAGGACTTATCTTACTCCAAGAGGACAAGAACCCACATCTACTCCTGCAACCACAATGGATAAAGCCACGGATGAAAGACGCCTCCCAATATCGTCATTACACCCAAGCAACCAGTTGAACTTTGCTAGAGTTGCAACAATGAACTCCAATATTTTTTCTTCCGAGCGTAGTAGCCAAGTAAAACAACACAACAACCCTACCATTCCAAGTAACCCTGCTTTCTTGATTGAGAATGCCCCAGTTGCTCATAACTATTCAGTGACTGAGACGAACACCCCGGTTAACTTGGGATCTGTTTATCCATTGTATTATGGAACTCGTTGTCAAACTGAAGAGTCCAACTTAGGCTCCCAGATCGCTGTAGATGCCAACCAACGGACTATATTTTTGGGTAGACCGATCATACCAAGTGCCGAGCCTGCTGAGCATTGCCTTCGCTCGTGCAAAACTGGAAATGCTATGAGCAGATTCCCACCAGAAATTATCACAGCCAGAGAAGAGAAGCTACCAGACACAGAATGTGATTTATCTTTGAGGTTGGGTGTACCTTCCCAGTCATGTGTGAGCACTAGGAAAACTTGGGCTCTTGAAACTGGAAACGTTGGTCCCAGCAGTTCCCATGAGAGGACCAAATTCCATGATCAGACCGTATGCACGAATAAAGAATTCAGTTTTTTCCCAAGCAGAACGGCACTCGATCCCTTTGATTCCTACTCAAATATGTGGAGTTCCGACATTGGGGGTCAGCATCCAGAATCTTCAACAAAAAAACGCAAAGAGCCCTTTAGTAGCAATGAGGAGGATGAGCCATTTTGTTTGCGACCTGAGGTTCCATCTAGTTGGTTTGACCATCGAACTAAAGGGTCAGGTTGGTAGAAAGTTTTTCAATGTTGTGGCATATAATATCGGAAATCTTAAATTTCCCATAATGTTGTATTGTCACTAATGAGAACTATTCCTTTTGTAGCTTTAGTCGAAATTTTATAATATTTGAGTCTCAACTGCACAAAACTATATAATTAGGTCAGGCCCTCAAAACATGTGAGGTGTGACTTTGAGTTGAGTGAACCATTAACCATTAACCATTAACCATTAACCAACATGGTTAGAACAGAAATCTGAATAGGTACGATTGCTTCATGTTAAGCCGCATAACTAATACAACAATAGAAGTGAATTCCCTCTTGAGGTTACCACTTTCTTTGAGCTACATGAGAAGTGTGATTCTGTGCTCTGTATGCTCGTTGCGAATAAGATCATTTTTAGTTCTTATAATCAATTGAACTCTTTCTTGTTCACCTCTTTTTGGTATTTTGAGACATTCTCCCTTCATTTGACCCAGTAAACTGGACAGTTCCATGCATTGAAACTTGGGGAGCAGGGTAGGAAAGTTATCGCTTGGCTGGCTTTTCTATTTTGTCATTTGTTTCCATATGAAGAGAAATAGGAATCTGTATACCCGTTCATTCATCAGTCTGTGGTAAAGTGATTCAAATTTAAAATCTAGATATATATGTGATTATGAGTTCAAACTTCAGTTGTCATTTATCTGACATATGGAATATCTCAGGAGTTTTTCTATGCCAAATGTCACTGGTGGTTTTCTTATGGAATTAGTTGTGGTGTGCGTAAATCTTATCGGTCACCCAAATCATCAAAAAAAGAAAAGAAAAAGAAATATATCATTATTTTTAATTATTCAGAATCAGATATCCTGCTGTATCTTGTAATTTTTTTTTCTTCAGTAAGACTATCTGTCTGTCCCATTGTTTTTTTAATTTTCCAGGTTCCTTTCATCCTAATAAATTCTCATTTTAATATACACTCACAGAAACACTGATATATGCACATGTAAATCTGTGATCTGCAGAGAGTTCAGAATCACCTTGCTTAAATTAACATATATTATTTTCCAGTTACTAGATTTCTTGTTATTTATATTGAAAGCTAATATCACAACTCACAACTGCAATTCATTTTTCAAAATTTGTTGACTCATTTACTTACTCTGAATCGTGAAGAGAATACAATTTGTGTCATGGGATTAGGTTTGTGTCATGGGATTAGGTTTGTTCTTATCAAGAGAATCTAAAATTATTGCTTTCTTTCATTGAGGATGTCTCATAGCTCAATTTGAGCTGCTGACCTGTTTGTTATTGATTTTTTCTTCTTCTTCTGGAGTTGAAGTTGCATCTGCAGTGGTGGAGAGTGAGAATCTGCTGAAACCTTACTTTTAAGTTATTGTATCAAAATTATTCTTCTGAATGATGAGATTCTGTATTAAATAGTTTGTATCAATAAGTGAAACTGTTTGTCCATCTGTGAATGAATGATATATATATATATTGCCTTTCTGCTTTTCATATAAGAATTGATCAGAACATATTAGATTAATTAAATTCTCATAGTTTGATTCAAATTCAACTGTATACATTTACCTGTTCTCCAAAAGGCTAAAAAGGAGGAAGAAAAAGGAGGATGACAGAAGGCACAGTAAACTTGGAAAGTGATATTTTTTACAGGTGTCTGTCCTTTACTCCAGAAGAATTATCCAATTGTCATTTTTCTTGTAAATGTACATTGCCTTTAATGAGAAATGGATATGAATTTGCCTGACTTATGACAGACTCATAATTTTATATGATCTTCTATCATTTTGTCCCTGATTTCTTTGAATCTTCCGGAGTCTTTATCTTTTATTCAGTTTAATTTGATCTCCCAAACCAGGCGATTGGGTGCAAAATTTATTTGGAAACTTTGATCCTTAGGTACTTTAACAGGTTTAGTCAAATAGAGCAAGAGCTGCACAAAATATCTTCTCCTGTGATTTCCTTTAGCTTCAACCTACAATCTTATGCTACTCCCTGGCTACTGAAAAGAAATAAACAGACATATTTGAGGCGATAAACACGTCGTGATAGATCCTAGAGTCTGCTGATTTAAAATCTCTGTTAATTTCTTTTTGTCCTACAATCTTATGCTACTCACGGGCAACAAAGAGAAAGAAACAGACATTATGGAGGTTGTCTGAAAAGGGAAACATGTCATAGTAGATACTTGGTACCTTTGGCTTTCTATAGTTTGTGAGTTAAAACAACCTTATTTGAACAGGATATGGTATACTATTGTGTCGTTGAGTTCTAAAGAGTTTGCAACTTAAAAAACTTTGCAAAAATTCATTGTTCTACCCTCAACCTACAATTTTTGGATTCCCCCCACCCGCAAGACAAAGAAAGATGCAAACATTATGGAGGTTATTGAAACAGAGAAACATGTCATATATGGGAACTTTCTGATTTGAAACTTCTGTCAATTTCTTTACTACCAACAATGGCTCATTCTTCTTGCCAATAATTGAGAATGAAACTGAAATAAGAATTCAGGAATGCTTGGAATGCTTGACAAATTGTCTGATCACTTAGAATACATATTTTTATTCCCAAACAAGGTACATTATGACTGATGTAGAGAGAAGCCAAGTTGAGAGAACTTGAAGTCTTCTTATAAACAAGTGAAGAGAATGCTGCCTATGGCGAACGTTGCTGCAGATAAAGCATTTGCGAGGAGAGAGGCAGGAGCAGAGCTCGGGGCTGGTGCTGCTGGTGTTGCAGGTGTTGTTGGTGCTGCTGGAGGTGCCGAGTTCTTAGATCCAACAGTCACGCTCAACTTCTGCCCCAACGAGCAGTGGGGACCGACCGTGCAGATAAAGTATTTAGAGCCAACAGTCTCCAGAGGAATTATCACAGGGCTGGTGCCATTAGGTGTTCCTGAACTGGTACAATTTTCAAACCCATCCTTTGTTACTTCAAGCACACTATGCAGTCCAGTCCATTTGAATTCTGAAAACCAAAGAGGAAAAAGAAAAAAAAACCATATTTACATATATATCTCAGGTATCTGTTTATGAGGGTTTGACCATTCATGCAGTTAGAACAGAACAGAACAGAACTCAAATTTGTGAAAAGAAAAAAACCCAAATTGTACAAGAGGGAGCTCATCAGGTGATGAAGAGGATCCTCTTTAGTTCTGTACTGTTTGATCTAAATAGTTTCATCCGAGTTCAATGGTGCCTTACTTTTACTCAACTTTCATTAGAAACTATTAGAAGTTTGTTTGAAGTTCAACACAAATTGTATAAATACAAGTAACTGTACTAGATAGGGTCGAAATGGGTCGAAAAATTGTTAGGAAGTGCTCGTCTCATTCCTTAGATTTGTGCAACGTAGAGTTAAGAACTTGAGCTTTGGTACGTGAATTCGTTTATACTAAGCTCTACCATATTACTGATTTCAAGAGCTATGTACATAGAACTCATAAAACTCTCGTTTTATATTCTATAACTACTTTTACGAATCGTAAACTCACACACCAACGTAGGAGATATGTTCAAGTTCTCGTTACTTATGTCTGTGCACAATCCAAACACATAGGCTGTAGATTTAGACTTTCCAGCTCTAGATTTCACAAACTCAAGCATTTAGACCCATGAGCCGAACTTCTACTTAGAGTTATTGAAAAGAAATAATTACTTGAGGAAGTAGAAAAGCAAGAAATTCTGTTAAAAGGAGTTGCAAGAGAGAGGAAGAAGACTGCCATTGTCATTAGAGAAGGGTTCAAGAGGTTCTTATCTTACCAAGTTTGTCACCAACATTGAAGGTCTTATCGGAAGCCCACGTGGTGTAAAACGACATCTCCTGCGGAACTGCCCAACCTTTGTCGCCTCCAACTTCATGGGTGATGGCTGCAATTCCGGTTGCAGCCATGGCTGCACTCGCAAGGGCAACCACCCACCAAATCGAACCCATTCCAATGGTCATTTGCTCCCGCTTGCTTTTGTGTTCACAAGTCATCCCTGCAAAGCTCTCTCTCTCTCTGTTTTCTCTTTCTCTTCTCCATGCATGCATTTATGTGAAGCTGAAGATAGAAGAGAGTATTTTTGGTAGAGAAGTGTGGACATGGTTTGATTATGTTGAATATTATTCACAACCACAACTTTTTGTGATGGAAACTTGACCGAGCTCTCAGTTTATTGTTTGTTTTGATATTTTTTGGGTTTTAGAAATAATGAGGTGATGAGCTTTGGATAGATTTTGTTTGAGAAATTTTAAAAAGGCAGCCATTGTCATATTTGTTTTGTAATGTTGTTCAAAGTTTAAACACCACAACTAGAGATTTTCAGGTCCAACTTGGGCAGTAACATCCAAGAAACAGATATTTTCAAGGCTGTCTCTTTTTTCAAAATTAATTAAAAAAATGGTTTAAATCTTATTTTGATTGGTAGGTTTTTCAAAATTTTTATTTGGTTCTTATCAATCGATATCATCCTTATGGTTAGTGAGTGATAAGATTAAGACATGACATTTTGTGCATAGACATACATCAATTTTTTATAAAAATTTAACGCTAGTCACCAAAGACAAAAATTCTTGATAAGACTTAATTAATGAACAATAACTAAAAGGAAAGTTTGAAAAGTATCATTGCCAAATTGTCATAAATGATATAAGGACAGTAACTAACAATGTAATTTAATCTCATTCTAATTTCTAGCCACATTTATGATGTCATTGATGGGCAAGTTTACAGCTAAATTGGACCTATAAATGACTTTTAACCTTTTATTTGTTTTTTACTAAATTTTAGAAATTCTGAAAATAGTTTTACAAAATCATTGACAAACCATAAAAAATTCTCATAAGCTTTAGTTTCAATTATACCTGCATCGTTTTCATCTTTTCTAGCTAAAATCAAAATAGTCACTTGATAGCTGGATTGGTATCTTGGATGTTTGATTTGAGAGAAGGTAAAAAAGAGCACAAGATGAAGTGCAAATTGTACAAAAGTTAAGAATAGCAACAACTCTTCGGAGGATGATTAAGGAAAAAATAGTTCTATTATTGTGAAAGAATGTTGACATTGGTAACATCGTATGATAGAATAAAATATATCATTTTACTACAAACTTGATTTAAGAATAAAAAATAGTAAATATGAAATGCGAAATTAAATTTTCTTCTCAAACTGCTTTGATTTGACTTTATCTCATTTTCTTTTTTTTTAGGTCTAATATTTGTTCTAGAAAGTTTTGGTTTCCGTGGTGAAGTAAACTCTCTAAATTTATGATCAATCCTTCCCGGATAAGTAAAGTAATTTATTTTTTAGACAACTTACAAATATTAAACATTAAAATGAAAATGTTTTAAATTACAGTGGTATAATTGAAACCAATCCCATAATCGAGGGGCATTTATAAAATTTACCCAAAATCATTTATTGGAAAAAAAAAGTAAAAACAATAAAAAGGTCATGGAATTATGGAAGTGGACTTTGAAGTTTTATTTTTATTGTTTTTTCTAGTCAAATGAAGCAGTCGTGTCGAATTAAAATACGAAAATTTCTTCAATTTTCCCACAATCCGAGAATATGAATTCATACCAGCTATTATAAAATTTCCAATCTGTTTACATCAACCAATACAAAATTAACCATAAATCTCTATAAATTTCAAAAAAGAATAAAAAAAGGACAGTTTATTTATTATACTAATTATAGACGAAAAGAACCTTAAAAAATCTCTTTAAAAAATTTTGAAAATGACGAAATCTAAATTCTAAATACTAATAAGGCCACGTCGGCTAGTACACCAGAGCTAGGGCGACGGCGAGAAGAGCGGCGGAGAAGGCGGAGGCTCGGAGCGATGAGGCGGCGCTGGGAGGCGGCGGAGCAGTGGTAGGAGATAGATTTGAAGGGTCGGTGTTAGAGGGAGGAGATGAAGCGCCGCCGCCGGTGACGTTGACGGCGAGCTTCTGACCGACGCCGCAGTGGCCGGCGAATGTGCAGATGAAGAAATGTTCGCCGGCTTCGGAGAGAGTGATTCTGACCGGCGGGTTGGTGGAAATAGGGGAGCGCGGCGATTCGCCGCTGCAACGGTCGAAATTCTCTCTTGTGACCTCCGCCACGTCGTGTGTTTGAATCGCGAAGTTGAACTCTGCAAATTCAACGGAGAAGATGAGCTTCTTATTATTATTATTTTTTAATAATATTCTTAACCTTTTTTTTTCCTAATCTTTTGAAAATATAATTTTTAATCTGGTGTCTAAATAACCTCCACCAAGATCGCTACATATCATGAACCTATTAAAAAAAATTAAAACAAAAAACCAGATGGACTCCACATTGAAATTTTAAAAATTTAAGAATTTTTTATTTTGGTGTTTTAAACTTTAAAATGTTAAATTTCATCCTTACACATTTAAAAATAATCGTTATATATAGTCTCAAAACTTAGCACCCTATAACTTCAAAATAATCACTATAACTTTTAAAAACAGAAAATTAAAAAGGAAACCGTTATCGTTAAATTTTGAAAGTGGAATAAAACGAAATTGAAAATTTCCATTTTAGAGAGAGATATAGAAGAAGTTCTTGAGAGAGAAAATTTGTGGGTCGTTACCGAGAACGTCGCCGACGAAGAAGCTCTTGTCGCGAGCCCATGACTCGTAGAAGCTGGCGCTGGACGGGACGGTCCATCCCGACGAGTCTCCGACGACGTACGTCATCGGTTCGCGGGAAGGAGCCGGCGACGGCACGACAGATGATGACGGCGACTGGCTGGGTCCGGGGACGGGAACGGCGGTTGGTGCCGGAGACGGCGACCGGCTGGGTCTGGGGACAGGAACGGCGGCTGGTGCAGGAGACGGCGACCGGCTGGGTCCGGGGACAGGAACGGCGGTTGGTGCCGGCGACGCTGTCGCTCTGACGGTGACGGAAAGCTTTTGGCCGCCGTTGCAGTGGCCGGGAAAGTTGCAGATGAAGTGGTGGTCGCCGGCGGATGTGAGTGTGATTCTCGCAGGACTGTTGTTCTCGACGGAGATCGGATTGCCGCCGCTGCAAGTATCGAAACCACTCCTTGTCACTTCCGCTACGTCATGTCGTCCGCTTGCAAAGTTGAAAACTGCACCAAATTCCTCCACCTTTAGCTACATGTCGTTTCGATTTTCTTTTTCTAATTTAATCAAAGGCTTCGCTTTATTTCTTATAGTACGATAGCAATCTCTAAAACTTTTGGCTAAATTACAAAATAATAATGATAATAATATTTTAGAATTTTAACATTTGTTTAAAAGATAATTACTACCCTTGACTTATCTTTCAAAAACATTAACATATATTTAAGTATTTTTTTTAGAACGTTATGAAAGGTCAATAATATAGAAATTTTTGAAAGAATAGATATATTTTTAAAATGAATGACAAAATTTAGATTTTCTTTTTTCTTGTAATTTATCTAAAAAAGATTTATTTCCTTTCCAAAATTTTTTCCATCATTTTTATTTGAGTACTATATTACATTAAAAAAACCATATATCACATGGAAAAGAAAATTAAAATATATTAATTTTTACCTTAAATTTTTAATTTCATCCCATTAAACTTTAGACTTAGATATTATCTTTAATTTCTGTCGATTCATCCACTAAATATTTTTACTTGAATAACGACAAACAAATTTCTAAAAGCTTACTAGTTTCAAATTAAAATCAAGCATGACATAAATTTACTAATTTCAAATTAAACCAAACTCAAACTTACCAAGAACGTCGCCAACCACAAAAGTTTTAGTGGAAGCCCAATCAGAATACGAAGTAGGATTGGGCGGGACGGTCCAACCCAACGAATCACCGACAACATAGGTGGCGGCAGAAGATCGCTGCCACAAAGCCGCTGCCGTGAGGAGGAGGAGAACCGCCATCTGGTTGAATCTAACTGCCATAGTTTCAAGTGTGTTAATTAAAATAAGCTCAAGGTTTTTTGTGCCTTTGGTGGAAGAAAGAAGGGGGCAATTTTGGGTATTTATAGTATTTGGAACCTCGCATCTCAGACATTGGTGGAAAACAGGCCGTTGGATGAAGGACACGTGGGAAAGAAATGGACGGCGATTAAGTCCGCAGGTGGAGGTGCGGAGAAATTGGACTCCGCCGCGTTAGATTTCTTACCGAACACAGTGGTCAGAGTCTTTGACTTTGTGCCGTTGACTGGTCATCGGCTTCACATGGAGAGAGGTGGGTCCCGTTGACTGGTCAAATGCACATTAAACATTTTATTTCATGCCATAATTATTATATAAATTCCACCACCTCTTGTTTATCAACTATGAAATTTGTGAAATAATAAAATCATTTTTGTTCTATTCTTTTTTATTGATTTTAATAGAATTGGTAGAGATGAGTCATTTCCCATGTGTTGTATTTGTATATCAATTTCAATAAAAATAATATATACATAATTGAGCTTTGGAAAATAAAAATTTATAAATGATTTGTTATCAATAAATTGATTGTAATTAGATTAATTATGTGAATGGATATAGACTCTATATAGTTTGAATAATAGGATTTTAATAGAATTGGTAGACACGAGCCATTTCCCATGTGTTGCATTTGTATATCAATTTCATTAAAAATAATATTTACATAATTGAGCTTTGGAAAATAAAACTTTATAAATTATTTGTTATCGATAAATTGATTGTAATTAGATTAATTATGTGAATGGATATAGACTCTATATAGTTTGAATAATAGGATGTCTATTTATTTTATTCATACTTGATTTCTGGTTTTATAAAATTAAAATAAAGTTATTAACGTCGAGAATTTAATCGTTATTATATATGACAAATCTCTCGCTTATTTCCTCTCAGGATTAAGCTCGTCCTTTCTTCTAAAAACCTAAAGTGTCATTCATCAAGGTACAATAACGACCTTAGTCTTCTAAATAGAGTGTAGAGGCTTTAGCCCATCATTCATATTTCAAAATTCGTATTGTGTTTAATCTCTATCATAATTATCCAAGCGTTAGGCAAATTTGAGAATTGAGATATAATTTCTTCACGGGACATATTCACATCTCCTTTTGTTGTCACGCACTTGATTTAATTGTTGGAATCGTTTTGACATATACCATACATTAGTCGAACTTTTCAAAATGAATTTTTTTTATTATGTCCAATTCCATGTTCCAAAGGAGCAATATGAAAAACCAAAATATAATTATCTATAGTGGGATTCACCTTTCAAAAAACATAAGTCTAATTGAATTGGTTAAAACATATATTTACAACTAAAAAAAGTCCAAATATCTCAATTAACCATTTCTGAAATGAAAATCTCGTGAGTTGCAATCAGGTTTCTTTATAATACTTAGAATATCCTTTACATCTCGTTTTGAAATAATAACTTTTTTAAGACATAGCGTTCCTTCGATTTCTAGATTAGATCTTGTCAAATTTTAAGTATGTTTTTTCAAACGTAGGTCACCTAAAGTTCTGTTACATCATCCTTGCGTCGCAACCAAACCATAGTAAAAGAATCTTCAAGAAAGCATAATCTAAAAACTAGATTTACAATCAAACACGAGTTATTACACCAAAATCATTCTTTTTTACAAACAATTCTTACCATTTAATCTATAATCAAATAAACTCAAACTTATTAAAACTATGAATTATGCATCCTCGACCTCGTTCATATCAATATAAAATCAACTAAATGTGATGGAAAAAAAAAAGGAACAAATGTATCAAATTTTCAAGTCGGAAGGAAAAGGGAAAAAAAAATACACTGAGAATCCGAATAATGATAAAAATCCAAGTACACACAAAATGAATCCCACTAATTAAATTTCTACAGCCACGGCGTGTCTAGGAATTAAATCAGAGCTATGAAAATTGCCAACACGGCGGAGAAGAAGATGCCGGAACCGCCGAGCGAGTGGGCGGAGTTGGGCGGCGGGGGAGCGGTCGTCGGAGTTGAAGGAGCGGTTTCCGGGGGTGGCGCCGCGGCGTTTTCCGGAGGTGGGGTGGCGGTCGGAGAAGAGGCCTTCGGTGGCCGGGCGGACTTCGGCGACGGCGACGGCGAAACCGGAGTGCTGGGTTTTGGGGAGGGTGCAGGAGCGCCGGCCGGCGGCTGAGAAGATTGGGCTCGGACGGTGACAGAGAGCTTCTGGCCGGCGTCGCAGTGGCCGGGGAATGAGCAGATGAAGTGGTGGTCGCCGGCAGCGGCGAGCGTGACCCTCGCCGGACTGGTTCTCACGACGGAGATGGAGTTGCTGCTGCTGCAAGAATCGAATCCGGCCTTCCTCACTTCCGTCACGTCGTGCCCTCCGGCGGTAAAGTTGAAAACTGCACAAAATTTAAAAAAATAATAAAATAAAAAAGCAATCAAAATCAATAATATCGATAAAATATTTACATTATTGGTTTCTTTTTATTATATAATTATTAGAAGATAAATTTATTACAATGATTTTATTTTTTAAACATTTAAATTTTTCTGAAAAGTGACAAGAGAGAAAAAAAAATTTACTAGACTAAGATGAATTTTCAGTCAACTTCCTCCGTGCTTTAGATCTGGTCTTTGAGACAAATTATTTTATCAATTAATAGAAACCATGATATTATATTATTTAGGCTAAATTTATAAACAAAAAAAAAACCCCTAAAACTTACCGTATGTTTAAAAAATGCTCCTCCATTTCAAAAATTTTAATACTAAATCTTTCCTAAAGTCAAACATTTGTAATATTTACAAAAGAGTTGATAGGACAAAATCAAAAACAATCTAACGAATAATTTGATAATATGGAAGATTAGAATAAAATTAGGTAGACAAAATTTTCAAAATTTGATAGACAATTAAGGAAAGCTTACACGTTAATTGTCACATTATTCTAGATTCTACCATTATTCTAGATTCTACCATGTGAATAGATTTGGTGGAAAATGAGCTTAGAGGATTAGACCACGTTGGGAGTTCGAATCTCAATCGTTACCGAAAAGAAAAAGTGCTTTTTGCTTGGGGTAAGAAAATCATGGTCGGAATAACTATAAAATTTGAGTGTAGGTATTTTTTTGGAGATGGAATGACCTTCCTGTTAAAAATATTAATTAAAAGAGAGAACTTTTTTTTTTTTTCCCTAGTGGAGATCAAGAGAATTAGCTAAGTAAATATGTAATTGAAGCTAAATAATTAATTGCAGAACACAAATATCTGAATAAAAATTGAATTGAAAGGGGAGGTACCAAGAATGTCGCCGACGAGGAAGGTTTTGGAGGAAGCCCAATCGGAATAAACAGAGGGATTAGGAGGGATGGTCCAGCCCAGCGAATCGCCGACGCTGTGGGTGGCGGCCGCCGAGCACCGGAGCAAACCCGCCACCGTCAGCACCACAAAAACAGCCGCCAACTTCGATCTCGCCGCCATTGTTACTGCCAGCTCAGCTGTGTGTAGTGTGTTCTCAGATCGCCGGTGCTTTGTTTTCTCTCTCTTTGGGGAAGCTGGAGATCTGAAGTGAAGAGGTCGGTATTTATAGGGGCGGGACACGTGTCGGTGGATGGCTGAGGGGGGGAGATGAACGGTCCAGATAGAATAACAATCAGGTTGCCGCGTGGGGGAGTTTTGAGGTTGGAGGTTTTAGGGTTGACGAGTCATTTTGTATTTTTATTTTTATTTATTTTCTGGGGTTTGGATTTTTGTGAAGTTTTTATTTGGGGGTGTATGGAATCGGAACAACTTTAGCGGGGGAGAAAAGCGAATATTAATGGGGAGAGAGAAAGTGGTGGGAAGCTGCGTTTTCAATGGAAAAAAGATAGTTTTTTTGAGAGAGAGATGTGTTGCTAGCTGGTAGAATGCAAGTGTGCATTTCTTACAAGAATATATCGAAATTATTATGAAAACTTCACGTGGGGCAGGGAGGGAGAGAGAGGAGAAAAAAAGAAGGAACCTAATCAGCTAGGCTAAGCTATGAATATGAATAAATAAATGAATGTCGGGCTCTTTCTTTCAGTGCTAACCCCAAGAAATCGCAAAAGAAGAAGCAAATCAATCAGAATGGAGACATGGAGAAGAGGCGAAAGAGAGATTTTCAATCCTGCAAGCTGCAAACAACAACAGCGAAAAATCTATTGCGCACTAGCTTGTCTCCATCTTCGTCTAGGTTAACGGGACCTTATAGGGAGAGTGGAGCCTCAAGAAGAAAATAAGTGAAATACACTTGTTTGTGTTTGAAATAAAAAAAAATGAAATTAGTTGAGGTGTGTTTAAGCGGGTCCGAACACTCATAGACATTAGAAAAAATGATTTCTATTTCGTTTTTTAGTTTAAAAAAACCGTCACTTTTGATTGTTAAAATTTAAATTTAGTTTCTGTTTGGTTAGTGATATGTTTTGGTACTTAAAATTTGATATAGTTTTTAATTGATCCCTGGGTTGAATCGACCTAATGGGATGGGATGATGATATGAACAATTGACATATGTTGACTGGACATTAAAAAATTCCTTAACATCGTACTGACGTGTCCAAATATTGAGACAAAAAAAAAATTATCCAATTTATTTTTTAGTCCACCATTCATATTTGGAGAGGATCAAACTTACAACATTCTAATTCGAGATATATGTCAATTAAATAATTATCATTAAACTATAGGGTCGAATTTGTAGATTAACTTCTTTTATAAATGGAATGGAAAGCTTTAGAAAAGCTTAAACTTTATGTTATTTACATAGATAAAAGTAAGTTTATTTAGCCAGGATTTAGGATGTATTGAAGAATGAGTTTAAAAGATTTTGGTCCATTTTAAATTTATTAAAGTTAGTTAGTTTTGAATTTAATTGCTGAAATTGTTGAGACAGGCAGGAGGTTGGCCAACGAGGCGCGGACTGCGGAGGACACGGCATGTGATCAACTGGATTTGGTCAACATTCGACCATATTATTAAATTTAAAATAGCATTAAATTCAATCATACTTATTTTTTATTTTTCCAAATCAATCAATTCTTATAATCAAAGTTTGTTATCTAACTTAAATAATACTGTGATTAATACAAAACTCAAATACAAAAACTTCATACTACAACCCAAAAAATACTAGAATCCATCCTCTTTTTTCTTTAAAATTTAATTTAATGGGTGTAAGCAAAAGATTTTAATCACTAAAAAAATAATTCCTAATCCACTTTACTATTATTAATTTTCAAATATTTTTTATTTTTATACTTTGACCCATTTAGATTTCTATTTTTTAAAGTTGGATTAGATGAACTATATACATATTCTGATTTCTTTGTAGTCACATTAGATGTTTTTTAGCCTAGATTTTAGGAGCATTTTGTTTAGTTAATTCTTTTTAATATAATAAATGTGGAGCATGGCTATTTTGAATCTTCGTCTCTATTGTAAAACTGTACTTATGTTGGTTAAAAGCTTTTTTTTTTTTACTTGTTGGATTTTATGGCGAGTAATACTCCTCTCAAGTGCTCTTTAGTTAACATGCCTTAACAGTAAAAAATTGTTGCTACCGTGAAGTAATACTCTTTTGTGGCTATCTTCAGAAATTTGTATAGTTGGATTTTAAACATTTTTTGACTTGATTTTGAGTGCTATTATGGAATTGGTATTGCCTTTTAGCCAAAATAAATGCCAAATCAACCGATGGATTTAAGGGAGAAAAAACCAATATTGAAATTTACTTTTTAACATTAAATCGATTACCCGAAAGAATCAGTGAGAACTGACAAAATCTATCCCAACAAAATTTTCTCCTACTTTTTTTCTATATAGTTCAATTTTTTTAAAACTAATCTACAAAGATATTTAGAACTAACTATCGAGGTATGAAAAAGTTTTGTAAATCTGTGCATATTACTTGCTGATTGCCTGGTTGAGAATGAGTGAGAAGAACATGCTAGTAAGCCTCAAAGCTTTTCCAAAAACAAGAAAAGAAAACGATCAAATTTTTATTGTCTCGAACCTGTGATGCGAAGTCAGGTGATTCTTCTCTCATAAAAAATATTTCAACTTTTGAAATTTGAGATTTCTTCCCTCTTCAAATCAAATTTTGATGGTGGTAAATATTCAACCTTCAAAGACAGATAACATATTTCTAAATACTTAAAAAAATTTTTAATTCATTGTTAATTTGTGAGCAACCTCGAGTAAGCATTTTATATGATTAATACAACCTCAAAGGAAAGAATTTGTATAAAATACTAAATATATTATATTATAAATACAATTTTTCTTAAATGATTCAAAGTCCCATCCTTATAATTAAATGTAAGACTTAATAAATCACCTACTTGACATGGTCAATTATTATTATTATTTTTCATTACTAAAAGCCATATTGGGTCAATCACCAATGCTGATGTGTAAATGTTAATTGTTAAAATCACAACATTTAGATGCATAAACCTCTCTCATTTTCTCCAAATATATGACCAAATCAAAATGATAGGCAATCTTCTTCCAATTGGAGACATCCCCACTTGTCATTTTATTAGTTGATTGACCCTTTTTTTCTTTACCAATTTAATTCATTTTGCATTAAACTTCAAGATATATATGAGGGAAAAAAAATATTTTATCCAACTTAGTGAATGACATTATGACTTATCTGACCAATTCTGAGTTCGATCTCTCACCTCCACATGTTGTACTAAAAAAAATAATAAATACCTTTTAAGGAAGTTCCCAAATGGTTGAGAGATTATTTTTCTATTTATCTTTAATCAAAGATCGGTTGAGTTTGATTGATAGACTATTTTAATGTGTGCATCTTCATAAGGTGTGTTATCTCGTTTCACCCATCCACATAAAAAAAGAGATATTAAATTAATTAATCCACACATTCAAAGATCAACTTAATGATTGTTATTATTTGTAACATTCTTGTAAGAATTATATTGGTTACTAACCAATTAATAGGAATAGGAATACGCATCAGTCTTCAAAAGTATAATATTAGTTTAGAAGATATCTATTAGCTAAGCATGTTAAATATTATTCTTCTCAAATTTTGTTTGTTTATCTTTTTATATGAGAAATTCCAAAATTTGATTATCAAGCAAGAATTTATTAATGTCGCCAAACCATAATGTACAAATAGTTAAAAAAAAAAAAAGAAAAGAAAAGAAAAAGAAACATAATGTACAAAAATGTTGAGGACGAAGAAAAATCTCATCAATGGAGAACAATGCTGATAGAACAGTGCCATCTCTGCTCGGATCGCTCAGAGAAAGAGTGCCGAGGCCATGGCAAAGACTAGGAAAGCACTCAAACAGCCGGCGGCAGCGGCAGTTTTCGATGCGGCGGAGGTATTCGGAGATGGACCCAGAGCTCCGCCGGCCGGGGAAGAAGGAGAGGCTGCAATGGAGGGTGATTGTGCAGTGCCCGGAGGAGGAGCGGTGGAGCCGGAAGTGACGTGTCCGGTGATATTGATCATTAATTTCTGCCCTAATATGCAGTGTTTTGGATGGGTGGAGGTGTAGTAATGACCTCCTTTGGCGTTCAGCGCGATGTTCGCCGGAGTGAAGTTGAAAACAGCGAGAGTTGAAGTGATGTTGCAGGAATCGAACACTTCTTTTGTCACCACCGCAACGTCGTCGGATCCATTGAAGAAATTGAAAACTGCAAAATCAATTGAAATTCAACGATGGGTTTTATTTGTCTACACGATTTTGGGAGTCTCTTTACTGAGTGCCCACCTAGTGTTTGATAAATTGTGTCAATGAAATCTACACTTCTTATGGTACCTAATGTGTCGCCAACGAAGAAAGTCTTGTTATAAGCCCATGAGGCATAGAAGATGGGACCTCCAGGAGGAATGAGCCATCCTACTCCGTCGCCAACGGTCTAGTTTCTCGGCCCTCTTGGAGCTGGAGCAGGAGTCGATCCGGGATATGCAGTGACATTGATGGCCAACCTCTGTCCTAAGATGCAGTGCTTGTCCAAAGTGCCAATGAAATAGTATCCCCCCAGTGAATCCAATGTGAAATTGGCTGGACCAGTGGCTTTATGGCTGATCGGATTGGTTGAATTGCAGGTTAGGAATGCTTCCTTTGTGACTCTAGCTACATCTTCTTGTCCAGTTGTGAAATTGAACACTGAAAATATTTCACAAAGACCATTATGGTTAATCGCATGTCTTAAGATCTTCCCATATGGAACTTTTCCCTGATAGTTCCTAGTTTATTTGATTAACAAGAGAAGATTGTCAAAACAAATAAGAAACAAAGATCAGAGATGATCTAATTTAATTGTCAATACCATCCGACTTGTTTCCGATGGTTTTATGCAAAACTCTCCAACTGGCCTTGGACAGTTCTGAATGTGCTCAAGGCTCAGAAAGTAGTCAAAACAAATTAAAGGGCCGTGTTTTTGGCATGTCCAAAATGACTTTTGTTATTGTCAAAATCACTTCCAAAATCACATTTGTTATTGTTAAAATCACTTCCATTTCCATTGATCATGATTCGCAAATAAAAAAATTGATTTTAAAAGACTTAGAATCACTTTAAATTGATTTTTAAGGTATCACTTGGATGATGATTTTGAAAAATCAATTATATTTAAATCTCTTTTTTCAAAATCACTAATTTTACCGTCACTCCCAAACACACCTTAGAGATGATGAGTTGAAACCACCTCCTGACAATCTAACGTTGTAGGATCAGGTGGTTGTCACATGAGATTCTCAATCTATGCACAAGTGAGCTCGGACACTCATGAATATAAAAGAAGCGAAGCAAATAAGAAGAACTAAAGATTAGCTATGCAAAACCATCTGCCTTGTTTCAGACAGTTTTTACCTATGCAAAACCCTCCAACTTGCTTCGAACAGTTCTGAATAAAACAAAAATTCAGAAACTGCCATAACTTTTGACACTCGGAATTCTAAAGGATCCAAAATCTAAAACAAGTGGATACACAAATTACATAAAGAGATAGACAAGTGCCTGTATGCTTACACAAGATATCACCAACTAAGAAGGTGTGGGAGACAGCCCAAGTGGCATAGACAATGGGGCCACCGGGGGGAACCACCCAGCCCAAGCTGTCTCCGACCACATGGGTGGTCCTTGCGGTTGTGGTCTGTACCAAGACAGAGGATGCCACTATGGCTAGCACAAGCAGAGCCAGTGTTCTAGCCATTGCTGTGCTTTAGAACTTCTTTCTATCTGAAAATGTGAGAGATTACCAAGTCAGAATGAAAACTAATCGCCTGGTTATTACTGATGTTTTTATATAGAGAATAGAGATGGGTAGGAGAAGTTGGAGGGTAATGCTTGTTTGTTTTGATTATTTAATTTTTGCTTGCTTCCATGTCCATCTCTTGCTCTTTTGGTCGGTTTTAACTTATGTTTAGAATTCAAAGCCAGTAAACTAGGCTCCATATAAGTTTTTTTCCCTAAATAAATAGAGTATCAGGGGGGAGATTTCACACTAATACCAGCTTTGGAGTGACAGCAAGGATTTTAGTTTATTAAGTTTTCTGCATGACTTAAACCGAACACCTTGGAAGGCATCTCTAAACATCCCAAATCTTTACCTCGGAAGTTCCATATATAGTTTGAAAAGTAAAAAAAGTGAAAAAAGAGTCCCATGATTCATTGTAATGGACATAATTTCTCTAGTTCATAGGGATTGATGCTTTGTTAGTGTTATTCAAATATTGACATATTAGCGCATACATAAATTGAATCAAAGGACTCAAAGTTAACGATAGTCTATATTTTAGTTAGAAAAATAGTAAGTATTGATTTTGATGTTCTTTTGTTGGGACTTTCCAGGGAAGGTGTTTTTGCAAATTATAGTGAAAACAAGAGTTATAGCCTGGCCAAAGGAGACTAATATACAAAGATGTATGATGCACATGGCATTTGTAATGTCAACACTCAACATAGAACATTAATTAATTTACACATGAGTCTCAAATACTGCATTTTCTGACCATTTCTTTGCCTCAAATGACAAGTCTATAGAAAATTTGGAACCTGCTTTTTTGGTCATCATTAGGCATTTTCTAAGAGTTTGATGAAATGGTCTTTTGCCAATTGTCTCAATTGCTTGTTTGTTGAGAAGAAACTTCTACTCTATCATACTGTACATTCACCAGTTTTTATTATATATATATATTTTTTATGACAAATGTTTGAATCATTGACATACATTTGGAGATCTTTTGTTGGATCCTTCTATGTTTAGAGTCGGAAACTCATAAGATATAAAATGGTAATGTTGTTGGTAGATGGCTATATAAATAATAATAATAATTTTTGTTTTACTATATTCTTTATTCTGTTACAATTTTTTTGTTTGACGATTGATGGCACTTTTTTTCCCTATTGCTGTTTGCCCACCTTATGTTTCTAATAATTTACCAGGATAAGAGGTGTTATAGCATAATTCTAAGGACTAACTACTAAGAACTCATTATTACGTTTAATATGTTTGGTGACTATTTTTTGGTCAAAATATTTAATATTTAATATGGTAATTCTGAAGTGCTAGTATTGTTTATTGCGTCGCATTAGGGACTCAACTCATGGTATCGATAGGGTGAGGTAGGATTGGGGAAGGCTTTTCTATCCTGATTCCCGCTCCATATATAATTGCTTGTTAAATCTAGAATCTTCATCTTGTCAATTTGAACATAGCTCAATTGGTTTAGACATACATCCTCGACCAAAAAGTCGGAGATTTGAATCCTCACCTCACGCATTGTTGAACTAAAAAATAACGTTGGAATCCTCGTATTAAAAAAATCAAAGACAGAGGTAGAGATTCCATATGAAGAATTTTAAATAGTGCATATCTTCATAGGAACTTATCTTTTTAAGAATAGACATTAAACCAATAAAATGTTTAGTATTTGATCTATTTTTTTAATTTTTTCAATGTTAATAAACTTTCTAGCATTATACCAAATAAAAATTAATACTTATTCCTCTTCTCAAAATTTAAAATGAAGAAATTTTATTTCTATTTAAATATTCTTTAGGAGTGTTGCTTTGAGCATGGTTTAACGGGTTAAAAAGGAGTATCATGAATATTAATATAACCTGGTAACCTATCTTTTTCTTAGGGGGCTAGAAAGCCTTTTCGAATTGAAAAAAAATTAAAACACAAATGAGAGTGTTTTAAAATATATTTTTTAACATGCATATTTTTAAGTTTACATTAATACATAACTATTAAGTAAAAACTTTAAGAAAGAAAAAAAGAAAAAAAGGAAAACCGAAGAGAATATGAATCTCAACAGCGGGAAGTCTAACAATCCATAATTACTAGATAGAAAATGGTCATTTATAATTTGTCACAACCCCATAATTTTTTAGTCAATAATTCAAAGAGGCACAAAAATCAAGTCATAAGTTCCAAACAACCCATTAATTCTTTTTAATAAATAGTGTAATCTTCAAAATGATTTTTTTTACGCTATCTTCGAAGTGATTTGAATGCATTGAAACCTTCGTAAATAACTATAATTAAACTTTAGCGTCATTGGAAGAAGATGACAGTTTTGGTTGGAGGTTTATTTAGATTGACCAAATTTTGGAATTAGAACAGTTTTATAAACCAGTAAAGAAAAGGATTTGCTGCCAACATGAGCTAGCTCAACGATGATTGACACCTGTCACGAATTTGAATCTCCTGCCTCAATTATTGTTCTAAAAAAGAAAAGAAAAAAAAAAGAAAGGATATGCTTTACCCTTATTAGTCTACTCTGCATTTATTACTACTATACCATTCATAACCTGTTTCAAAAACTTGGAAGAGAGTGATTGATTCGTGAGATAGACTTTTATAACTCGAGATTAAGAAGTTCAGTCCACATTTGTTACGGTTTTGCTTATCCCATGGTACGAGTTTATTAATCCCACATACTACGTAAACCTGCATTATTTTTTTATACTATACATACTAAACCCGGATTACAAAAACCCAAGTTTCAACAACTTATTCTTGGGTACAATCCAAAAAGATTTCTCCCAAGAATTATTTAAAAAGATCAAGAATGGTTTTTCAAAACTATTCTCAAACAAGAATTAAAGTCAGAAATGGGGCTTGTGGATCGGGGTCGGTTCTTGTGGCAGGAGGGTTTCTTTGCTGTCCTGTAGGACTTACGGGCTGAGAGAAATAGCATGATTTTAAGAGGGGTTGAGAGATCTTTGGAGGCTTGAGCTCTTGTTTGATTTCATGTTTCCCTTTGGACCTCGATGTCCAAAGTCTTTTGTGATTACTTATTAGGTTTGATTTTACTAGATTGGTGTCCGTTCTTTTAGTTTGGCTCCCTTTTATCGGGCTATTTTTCTGTATGCATCCCTTTTGTATTGTTTCATTCTTTTCCTCGAAAGTTCGGTTTTTTTTCTTAAAAATATATATATATATATATATATATATATATATATATTTTTTGAGCCAGATTCATGAGGGGAAAAAATCCTCTAAGGCCATCTCCAACAAATAAGAAAGGGCAAATTAAGAAGAAAAAAATTCAAAGGAAAAGAAAAAGATGTGACATTGTGTCCTTTGATCTATATATATTCTATTGGTAACTATATGTTCACTAAAGTTATGTCAAAGGGAGAGAAGAGAAGAAAAACCCAACAATTGGGAAAGGCACAATCAGCTGGAAATCATAAGCATATTTTGCTTTTATTTTGCCACTTCCATTTATGATTCAATAGCTCCATCTCAAATCTCAACCTTGTGGAAAATTGTGAGTTTAATTTATGCAAGAGGCAAAAGAATAAACAAGCAAGCAACTGTACCAAGTGTATGGCAATGTACCAGCAGAAGATGTAATGCTTTTGCCTTCCAACAGCTGCTGCAGGTTTGCCTTCCTAACTTAACACAATAACTTCTCTGACATTCTGCATTCCATTTTTTATCTCAACAATAGAAGTAGCGTCATGGCAGGGATTGTTAACGAGAAAATGCGGTTCACTAAAAATCCTCGAGCTTGGAGATCCTGTTCACATAAGCAATCAGAATATGCAGGTAAGGATGATGTTTAGTACAAACTAAGACAGAAGTTGGATTAGAATATGGTAGCTTTAGGCCTCTGTTTTCTTGTTTTTGTTTTGGAGAAAACTACAGATATGATTTTGAAAATATTTAAGGTTAGAATCACTGTTAGGCCCTTGAAGTCAAATGTCAACACAAAGTCCAACACATGGACAATTAATATTAAATAGAGAGAGAAATAACATGTAAGAGATTTGAACTCGAGACTTTTTATGCTGATACTGTGCTAAATCACAGCTAGGTCTAAAAGTTTAAGCTCATTAATCGTTTCAAGATTTTCTGTAGTGGTTTGGGCTATTTTGCCATTTTAAAAATTATTTTTAGGAATTTGGAAGGGACAGATCGGAGAGACTCTGTAGAGCTTGAAGAGGTAAAAGAGAGTGACGAGCAACAAGTACCTACCCCTGTCAAAATGAGGAAATTTTTAAAACCTAATTTCCTCCCTAAATTCTATGATCCAAATGGCAGATGAGTTTCCACATTTATACCTTTTCTAATTTGATGTCTACCAGTTGATTCAATATCTAGTCTACAAATCTATTCTAACTATGAACGAATTCCTACAATTTTAGGCTCTTGCGTCTTGTGGTGAAAGGTTTCACACAAACCTATAGTATCGATTACCTCGAGACGTTTGCTCCCGTGGTCAATATTATGCACTTAAAATAGTGATTTTAAAGCCAATGTAGAGTCATTTCAGTTGATATATAAAAACTAAAAGTCATCAGTGAAAACAGACCAAATATAGAACAAGAGAAACAAAATTTAAGAAACAACTGTTCAAATATATTTCTAGGGAATTTAACCATCTTCCAAACAAGTCAAATCATAGTAAGCTTCTTGTGAAAATTGGTACAATAAGCTTCGCTCTTCCTAAATATAATACACAAGAACACCAGCTTTTGTTTTGTCATTAATCATGTTAGATTAATTAATTTGTACAAGGGAAGGGAAAATCATAGTTCCAACAAACATAACATTCTTCATATGCTATGAGAAATTACATACCTGGAGCGATAAATAAGATGAATCTGCAGACGAAGATTTAAGTCCATGAAATCCAATATCGTATGATATGGTCCCATCAGCTTTGAAAAGTCCAAAGTTTCTCTCGGAAGTCGGCCCCGGTTTCATATTTTCGTTAAATGTTGCAAAAATGTAAGCCTTCAATACATTCTTTGGCCTGAAGGGGGTTCCTTTCTTCTTCGCGAGCCTCTTACGGAGGTTGTAATTAAATATCCTTGCATTATTTGCAGTTGCTGCAGCTTCATTTTCGTCCCCATGGGAAGCCCAACCAGTCTCTGTAACTATGACTTCCATCTTCTGATATCCAGCATCTACCAATGCTGCATATGCAGCATCGATCTGAGCATCGAGCATGTTGTCATAATGTAGACCAGTTTTAGGATCAGAAATTCCCTGAGTTGATTCAAAAAGTGCATAATTGATATCAATATTCTCTGGGTCGCTCATATAGGCTAGGAAGGGGTAAGCATTTAAACAGAAAGGCGAACCGATCTCTGAAAAGAAATCCAACAAAGGCTTCATGTACTGAACAACATTCTCTCTAAATATACACGAAGAAGGTGGAAACGAGTTCGAAAAAACAGCCTGAGAATGCGCAGTCGTGATCTGAACAATACCATCTAAGTTAAGCTTCTTCACTGCCTTATAGATATTCTTTGCAGCACCCAAGAGTGCTCCCCATAGCTCCAAATCACCCCCTCCTAGTACTTCATTTCCAATGGCAATCCCACAAATGTGAGTCTGAGGAAGGAATGCCTGGACGTTCTCTTTGACCCAGTTCATCGCCCGGTCCTCACTCGCACTCATTTCTTTCAAGAAGCCATTCGGGAGACCGACCACCAATTCAAGCCCCGTCCCACTAAATGCCTTAAGGACCCTGTGATCAGCATCATAAATCCTAACATTCTTTATTTTTGCTGCTTTGAGAAGCGAAACAACTTCATCAGGTGAAGGAATGTTATCAGCAATCCTTCCATAATTTATTCCATAAGTTCCAGTAAATGCTTGTACTGTCATTGTCAAGGAGGCTGGAGAAAGAAAACTAGACATTTCACTACAACTTTCTCATGTGGATGACTTAACAAGAAACCTCAGATTTGTAAACACAGATAAATTTTACTCTCAGTACTAAAAAAAATCTTCAAGAACAAAAGAAACATATAATACAACTTAAAGAAGCAACCAAATCCAACCGAGAAAAAAAAAAACTCTTTCCAATTGAAAACATCACATGCGAAGAAGTGGAAAAAAAATAGCCCATCAAATAAAAAATAGATGCAGGCACAAAGTCAAGAACAATCTGAAAACTAGCCAGTCAAAACTTTATTTTAAAGAATTCAGGTTGTCAGTGTCCTATATGATAAATTGACTTTGCTGACTAAATCAAGCAGAGAAAAATGGAGAACGATCCATGGAAACTGCAGAGTATAAGTCCAGTGGAAGCAATCTTGAGAAATAAAATACAATCGAACGATCTAGAAGAGAAGGAATCAAAAGAATGCCTAAAAGAAATCATCAAAATCAAACTAAATTAAACAAAATCATTCAGCGTTAGAAAGAACCCAAAACTCAAAACCCAAAACCATCTGATTACTGCACATAAAGAAACGGAAAACAGAGAGAGAGAGAGAGATAGATTACAGTACCAATGGCAGAGAAGACGACCCAGAAACTAGGAAGCGATTGAACACAGAAGCAGAAGCATTGCCTGGCCATGGAAACAAGAAAATCGCCAAAGAACTTCCTCTCAGAATTTGATCAGATGGCTTAAAAGCCAAGCAGAAAATGGGGGATTTCTTTCAAAACGTCCCACGGATTCTACTCACCTTTCCGCCGGCATGGCATGAGGAAGAAGACGACCCAACAAAATTAACACACATAGACGAAGACCCTTTAAGTCTCTAGTCCAAAACCTTATGCAGAGTCTGTTGGCAGAGAATTTTCATAGGAGTGAGAGAAAAAGAGAGATGTGAAAAGGGTTTTAGGGAGTCGTTCTCAGTGAATAATAAGGGGTTTTGATTTGGGAATTTGATTGGGAGTTGTGTGATGCACTATGAAATTTTCAGGCTAAATTTCATTCTCTAAAGTCTTAACGCGTAAGTTTGAAGTTTGAATGAAGATTGTCTCATCCCATGTACTATGCAACAAATATTGGTTGAAAAGAAGGGAGAAAAAAAAATCACGCATTTGATTTGAAAAAGAGTGAAAATTACACTTTTGGAGATTTTTCTATTCGCACAAAAATTTGTTCTTTTCCATTCATTATATATATTTTTGGTTATTCAAATAAATTTTGGTTTTTTATATGATATAGCATTAAAAATATGAAGATTAAGATTCCTTTGATCAGGAATTATAATTCTTAAAATAGGTGGTCGATGGATTTGAACTCATTCTATTTTAATCAACCCTAATCCCTTTTACCAATTATGGTTATTTTGATAGATAATATTATTAGATATTATTTGAATTGGATTTATTATTAGGAGTTATATTATTTGATTTAGATTTAATGATTTTACTGTTATAAATAGGTGGGTAGGATTATAAGATGGAGGAATTTTAATTGAATGAAATTATATTTTTTGTTATTCAAATTTAACATCACACTCTTTACTTCTTGTAGGTTTGTATATGTTTTTCCAGGTAGATCTTTTGCCGTAGCTGCACCATTGTTTGAAAAGAGATTATATATATTGAATGAAACATAAATTCAAAAAATAAAACATCTATTTTTTTCTTTGGATAAAATTATAATTAGATACATTTTAATGTAAAAATCTTCCAAATTCGGGATTTGAAACAAAAAGTTAAACTACTATACACAACCATTTTTCTTTATTATGTCTTATGGATAGGAGTTTCAATTATTTGTCACTTGCGTCTCTATTTTAATTCATAAACTTATTTCCTACAAATTTATAATTTTTTCTTCTCGTCTTCTCGTAAAGAATCTAAACCTAAAACAAATTCTTTGGGTATAATTCATAGTCAATCAAAGTTGTTTGGTTTGAGGTTAGGTGGATTGATTCAGGTTTAGTGGTTAGAAATGATGATCAAATCATAATTCAACAACTGCATAATTATCTATTTCTAAGTTGCAAACCCACTAAAACATATGGTTGAAACTTGAAAAAAAACATGATTTTGTGGTACACTTTATTTATGTAATTAAACGAGCTCGGAAGTTTATTTACTAAGCTAGTTAATAAGATTGATCAAGTTCACAGAATTTTATGAGTCTGAAGGCGAGCATAATTCAAGTATATATGTTCAAGTTAGTGGATGGAACGCGTGAACCAATGATGACTTGATGAACCAAACTTTAACGATAATTTGTTAATATAAGTGTGAACATTGAGTTTGGAAAAATTAAATGTTTTAAGGGAGAGAAACGATGGACAGGAAAAACTTTTTATTTTCCAAACAATTTTATAAAACTTTTCATTTTCAATATTATCCTATACCATAAGCAATTTTATAAATATGCTAAAAGGCAATTATTTTCTATATATATAAGTTAAACTTTATTTCCATGGATGTTCATAATAAGTGAAGTTGATCATGATTCAAAAAGCATAATTTTTTTTAGTAAAAAAAGCATAGATATTACACTCAAAGAGAAAGCAATAAAAGATAATATGAAAGCAAATTAAAAAGTGGTTGGAATGCATTGCAATTCCAAGTTGTACTAACACTTACACAAGAACATGACAATGGCTATATTATTTGTTAACAAACATGTAAAATTGCAAAATCTCTCTTAACAAATGGAGATTCCTTTTTATGATCCATAAGACAACTCGAGTGATGAGATGACAACAAATAGTAACCATCGTGAGTTCGTTCTTTAATCCAAATAGGCTAAGGTAAATCAAAAAGATTTAGAGAGAATGAGTGCAAACCTATGATAGCATCCTTTCTCAGAATTAATTTTCTATATATTTTCTTGACAACCAAAGAAAGAAACACATAGTCCAGGTATGGGTAAACCGGTCCGGACAACTCACGATTATCCTTCTCCCCCGAATCCCGTAGACAATTGAAGTCGTTTATGTGAGAAAAACTCGGAGATTTGTAATTTAGCATCCACATAAATGAGTGTGGAAAAGCCATAGAAAGTGCCCAAATTGCATCATCTGACTGGAAAGGGTTGAAATGAGGTGGCTTTGAATCAGTTAGATCAGTTGCATCAGAAAGCAAAAGCACCAAAAACCAAAAGAAATAACCTTTTTGGGCTGCCAACACCAATGCTGCACCTATGCAAATATGGGAATCTCTCTCTCTTTTCTTACACTTTTTTTCATTTGTTTACAAAAATTTCCACAAATTAAAGTGCTGAGTCTCTGATGAGTCCCTTTTTGCATAAGCTTCACACCAACCAGCCATAATTTTGGACTCAAAAGCAATCCTTTTGTGTTCTTATGATGGACCTAATTAATTAAGTTCATCATTCTATTTGTATCTTTTATCAAACAAATCATATATTTTGTTCGGAAAAGATTTGGGTTGCTAACTAGTCACTAATCGAGCTTACGTCCAGCTCGTGATCGGTCAATTTTCTTTTTTAAGTGGGTCCACCAACCACTGAGAAGACTACATAGAACGTATACTTTCATCTTATTTTCAAAAGTTTTTATATATGCTTGTCTACTTTGTGTTAGAGTTTTGATGGAGTGAAAACAAGGTGGTAGAATCTAAAAGGGTGTAGTGTCTTTCGCTTTCAAGAATTTGTATATGACATTCCAAAAGTTATGGATGGAAAATGCATATTCATAGGGTCGGGAACAAATAAAGTCAAGCATCTATAGATGTAGAAATCCTCTAAGTAGGTAGAGAAAACTTGGAACGTGCATTAATTGACAAATGGGCAGTGTAGTAATAAGCATCAATAAGAATCAAACTCTTAATTACCTTGGTTTTGCAAGAAAAATGGATGGATGTGTTATTTTTAAAGAAAAATCAAGCTTCCATTAAGGAAAGAGAAAAGTTGTGCTGTATGAAAAAAGTAATAATAAAATAAATGCCCACTATCAAATGAGCTTATAAAAAAAAAAAAAAAAAAGAGCTTTGAGAAATATAAGAGACGCATAAAGTTATAAACATTCTTTGGAATTGACATTCGTAGAGAGGCATGGAACCTAGCCAAAAACCACACCTCCCTGATTCTAAGGGATTCTTCAATCTATTTCAAGTTCTACAAAAGAGCAAACCATGTCTCGAAGGGTAGACGATACAATATAATACCTTCTCTATTGAAGGTGCTTTCCGATCTATGTTTCTTTGGAGCGAGAGGTTAGGCAGGTACGTAGTATGGGTCCTCTGACTTCCAACTATGTACTGTACGGTTTTTGCGAAGCGAATGAAAGAAAGTTGGTGGAGAAAGTTCGATGCCAACGACTTATGTAGTAATGTTGTACCAAAGACTTTCTTTCGATTGGTTGAATAAGGAGGTCGTTCAATTGATAGACGAGAACTGTTATAAATCATACCCATGCATAAAAGTTTCCAAAAACTATCCCACATGACTGATGACCACAGAAAACATGACCCAAAATATTTGAATCACTCCTACGTAAATAATAATACACATAAATGGTAATAAAACACACCAATGTAGCCCCAAATAGCAATGATGAGTAGAGTACAATGTTAAATAAGTTTATTGAATCAAAATCAACTTTTCCAATACTCTATATTTATTGAACCATGAAAAGAAAACTATTTCATTGTGCAACGACTAATTAACAAATAAATGGTTAGTTTTGTTAAAATCATTAACGAGAGTAACAAAAATGTACAAAAGCTCTATTTTCTTTTTGTCGTTTCTTTGCCCTTTTCGAACATGTCCACTTTCTTCCGTACAACTCACTAATTTTATTAGTGAAGAAATAATACATTTCTTAAAAATAAAAAGTGACATTTCCTTATATCTCATTTATTTTAGAAACATAAGCCTTTGGAAATTATTCTTATTTCTCATTTTTAGAAATGTTTTTTATACCATTTTGAAAACTTGTTCTTATTTCCCTTTTTTCTCCCTAAAGATTACTTTATCATTGTTTACCTAACAAAATTTTGAATATTTAATTTAAAAAATTAACTTTCATATAAATTTTTTACTTGTTTTAATTGAAAATTTTAGAGAATGAAACAAAAAAAAATTACCAAACATATTTCTTTTTTCGATAAAAGAAAATATGAAACCTAATTTTATTTATTTCTTGATTGAAAAAAGAGAAACTAAACACAAGGAAAAAAATGACATAAAAATAGATGGAAACCAAAACCTTGAAGAGAAAAATGAATGGATCAGATTACAGAATCCACCAACCTTATCTCCTAAACTTCCAAGCACCCAATGCCTCTGATTTTGCCCCCAAAAAAAAAAATATATATATATATATATATATATAATTAAAAAAACCAAGAAAAATGAAGTAAAAGAGGGGAAAAAAAAGAATTTAAGGGAAAAAAAGAAGGGAAGAAAAGAAGAGAAAAGAAAAGAAAAGAAAAAAAAGAGATAGATGGCACCAAGGCTCCTTTCAACAGCAAACACGTTCCATTCTTCTTCTTCTTCTTCTCCATTGTCAAGATCAAGATTTGGTTGCCTTCACTGCCATAATAACGCCGGGCGATTGATTATCTGCAAGGGAATTAATGACCCACCATCGCAAATTCCAGCTTTGACCAAGAGGACCCTCTCAATATGCTTTGTTTCCACCTTCATTTTCCCTCTGGTGGGTCGAGGCTCCTCCGATGCAAATGCTGCGATTCTTGAAGCCGATGATGATGAGGAGCTTCTGGAAAAGGTGAAGAAGGATAGAAAGAAGAGGCTCGAAAGACAAGGGGTTATCAGTTCAGCCAACAAAGAAACAGGTTCCGTATGCACTCTACCTGTTTGTTTTTACTTCTCTGTGAACTCAAAATTTAATCGTACTCGGAATATTTTCTGGTTTTCAATTGGGTTCTTGCTGTTCTTTGAGTTGATTTGGATTAAGGAGTGTGTTCGGTTCATTTTGCGTTGCTATGTTCAGTTCATTTTGAGTTACAATTTTTCTTGCAACTGTAACTATGAAAATGTGCAGCGCATATCACGAATCTTTTTTTGTGCCAGTGATTATTAAGATTGTTTATATGGTAGAGGAGGATTTTGAGACAAAATTGTTAGGAAAGCTCAATGGAAAACAAGAAAATGAAACGATGTCAATCCAATTACAAAGTGTTTTATGCGAATCTAGCCCTTCAATTGCAAGAAACATCGAAGTCAACAATACATGAATGAACTTACAGCAAAGTAGAAATATGGGGAAATGGGAGGAGTTATGGAGAAAAACAAGATGTATATAGATTGTCCGTGGGCATCCATAGAGATTGTAGTTATTTTTCCTGTTGAAAAATGAAAAGATAAACCCAATCATAAAGATTTAATATTGATATTCTTAACATAACTTTGAAGGGTATTTGATTCATCGGTTGTGTATGTATAGTCTAGAGTTGTAAGCCGAGCGTATGCGGGTGATGTAGACTTCCTTATTCCCTAGATTGTAGGTTTGCTAATTCTATAGGCTACACAGATCCAAAATTTTCAAACTCCCTCCAAGCTATGTTCTCACTTTTGCAAATCACAAACCCCCAAGCCTGACAATGCTACATAAAATCAGGTTTCTATAGCTCAATCCTTCTTTGTATAACTCAATATAGGCTATACAAAATCAAGCTTTTGAACGCCAACGCAAACCTAGACTCACTACAAATGAGTCAAACATTCCGTAGGAAGTTCAATATGGTTTTGGTTTTTGAAACCATTAGTTTAAGTTCATGTGAGTGGATTACAAGGGTCATTGCAGTCAATCATGGAGTTAATCATAAGCTTGCTTGGCTATGAGAATGTCTCTTGAATAAGCCGAAACCTTGCCATAATGATCTGGTCTCTTGCAGCATACCTCCAGGAAGTTGTGTACAAGCTGAGCAAAGTAGGCCAAGCCATTGATAATAATGATTTCTCAACAGCAAGTTCAGTTCTTGGGGGTAGTAGTGATGCAGATTGGGTTCGGAATGCCAATTCGGCCTTCAACAAGGTGAGCAAAATATCTATAACGAATTTAGGACTGTTTATAACTTTCTGGAAGTTTTGATTTTTGGCTAGAATATACATTTTATCCCTGAACTTATTGTTTTCCAATAAGTTTTCGTACTACCCTCAAACCTATCAGTTGTTTGTCCCCAACGTGTACAGACAAATGATTGTGAACATGACATGATGTGTTACATTTGTCAACATGATGTGAAATACCAAAATTCATTGTAATTACTAATTAGTGTCTACGTTTCTCTCTTAAAACACATCAATCAAGCTCAATGTATCACATCCTATACTTTTCACTTTTTCAAATGAGGTAAAACTAAGAATATTTTTCAGGAAAACGATTCACTGGTCTAAGATGTCTTGAAAATTGAAAACATGCATATAATTTACAAAAAAATGTGTATGTTAGCCTAAATTAATTGAACCAGTTCCTTTGATGCGATAAGCCGAATGAGAATTATCACAACTTAAATTGTTTGTCAGGTTCATGAGTAATTAAGTGATTCTTTGAGGAATTTCTGACTTTTGCGTAACTTCTTGAGCAGCTGAGCTCAAGTCCTGAAGAGAAATCTGAGGTGGACACATTCAATTCCTCTATAGCTTCGTTAATCTCATCAGGTGGGTCATCTTTTAAGAAATTATGCAGAAGCCAAGATAAACCAGAACGTAAAATTCTGCAGGATAAAACTACTAACCCTCCACAGAGTTCTAAATGATATTACATTTTTGCATTGCAGTTACTCAGAATGATGTTGAGTCCTCCAAAACTGCCTTTGTAGCATCTGCCAGTGCACTTGAGAAATGGACAGCCTTGGCAGGGCTTATTGGACAGCTGAAGGGGCTTTGAGTTGAAGACAACCTTCTGCATTGATATCATTTATTCTAAAATTTGACCTACTCCATTTCATAGTCTCCCCAGCTACTTTCCCCCTCCCAAATTCATTGCAGTTAAAGGTCAAGAAGCTGATTTTCTTGTCATCTTCTCACTGAGTTTTTGTTGTCAATGTTATTTAACTTTGAATCATTGGTTAGTTTGAATGCTATTGTTAATTTGCTCAAGGAGATCAATACATCTGTTTATGAACAAAGTAAAATATCAGTCCAGTTAGCAATATTCACCTCAAAACTGGCAGAAATTTAGATCATTCAAATGGTAATGGGCAAAATTCAGAAGTAGGTACAAGGAGTATCCAATGGATGTTTTCCAGTTGATGATGGAACACTTGGTGGAAGGAGACCTCTTGGATTCTAAGTAGAGACTTATTCACTAATCTAATCACATATGAACCAGAAGTAAATACTCTGAAATTTTTGCTATCAAATTCTCTTATATGAATGATTAGTGACTTGTTCATTCAAGGAAACTGGACAGTTCCAACTGCAATCAAAGCCATAGAATTAAATACTAAATTAACTGAAAGAACTTCAATCTGAACCCTATATGAACCATAAGGATCAAACAAGGGTTCCAACAAAATCAGCGGTATGGATAAATCTCTACCTTACACAGGTTTACATTACAGTATCATAGTACAAGCATGTTACACTTAATTCGTACAGAGATCATTATGAGCTACAACTTTTATTCAGTACAAGTGAACAACAAGCGATGGAACATAATAACCTAATCTATGATCGTATGGATGGATGTTTCTGTCAATAATTAGATTACTACAATTAACCACATCAGAATTACAGAGCTACCCGGCAATCTGAATCTTTTGGAAAGACGTATGAAGAGGCCAAAGCTGAAAACGTGATATCGTTTTCAAGGCTTTACCTCACCAGCATCATTCTTGTGATTGCCATTCTCAGTGACTTCTTTAGTCTGGTTTGTCTCGGTATGTTTCTCACTGTTTTCTAGAGCTGCAGCTGCTTTGTCCTCGATTTCTCCTTCTAATTCAATATCCTGTTGATTGGGTTTCTGTTTCTCCTCTAGTTCAGATTCCTTTACATCAGATATAACAGTGTCAGGTTTGGCAGTTTCACCCAAATTACTATCGTTCTTCTCCTCAATTTGTGGTTGCTCGATCTTTTCTTCATGTTTTGCTCCCTCCAGATTTTCATTGAGGTTTAGTTTAGAGCTGTCAGGTTCCTTCTCATTGAGATTTCTTTCCAATTTTTCTTGATCTGATTCAGCGGTTATCTTATGTTCTTCGGCATTATTATCCGCATTCAACTGGTTGTCAGATTTCGCTGCCTCTGCTACGGCAGCTTCATCTTTTGTTTTCTCCTCATCTTGATTTTCATCTTTTACCTCAGTTTCCTTCTCATCTTGATTTTCCATCTTATCATCATTTTTTACCTCAGCATCTGCTATGCTCTCATATTTTCCAGCATCTTGGTCGTTAACCTCTTTCATCTCCTCCAAAACTTCTGGTTCAGCTTCCGTTTCTTTGAGATCTTTCCTTGAGACTGACGTTCTTTTTCTCTTTGGGTGCTCACTTTCCATTGGTGGAGTTGCTTTAGCCTTTTCACTTATCCTTGCAGACCTCCTCGGCGTCTCACCGGTGCCCCAATCAAATTCAGCAGATGCTGGGCCACCGGGGTGTGCCTTCAGGTACTGTTCCAACTTCCTTTTGTTGTTGATCTCCTCCCCTGTGGGAGTTGTGAAGATGACCTCTTGTTTCTTAGGGGATTTACCTTGCTTGGGGAAAAACTGCCAAATATTCATATCATTAAATCAGTCGCAGCTAATAAACCAGCAACCCAGATCCTATTCTTTTGTTATTAATATAAGATATTAGAAGTTAAAGAATTGTAAATATATAGGTTAAGGTGGAGCTGTTCGGCTAGTATATAGATTTATAAGTCTTCTGTTGAGAGAGTAAGTGGGTAAAGGACAATCAATAAAGTAGATCTTTCTCTCCATGTGTCGTTGCACGTAAGAAATCTTTTATTAATAAGAGAAAAATACATCCAAGTAATCCAGAAAATCAGCAGTTTCTCCTCCCCAATGAAGGTGATAAAAGTTCTCGCTCATTGTTATGAATTACAGTATTTAAAAATAATAACAACCAAACAAAACTATCTAGAAGCTAAAAGTACATTCTTTTCACACACAAGAAGTTACTGTCACCCTCTAATACAAAATTCTCCCGTTCCTCTTCAGCCATAAGCTCTAGAGTAAAGCATTAGTAAGTACTCCACCAAAAAATCTTCATCCGGTCTTTAATAGGAAACCCGAACAGCAGCTGAACCAAGAATTCTTTCATAGATCGAGGGGAAACACCAGCTCACATCGGGAAAATGAAAGACAAGAAACAGACATAATTTTGGAAAAATCAGACTGCATTAATATTAGTTCCTTATGTTGTCACCATCGGTATTGTTACATAAACAGCATCAGTGAGGATGGAGGACTTAAACCTTGAGCTTTTCTGTATAAGATCAAAAGAATTAACCTTCCCAAGATAAAGATGCCAGAAGAAAAATCTCAACAATTTGAGAATTCTAAATTTCAAAATCTTAAAAAACACATCCCCCTGGCTAGGAATCTGACCTGCTATGCCCATGAAATTAACAAGAAAAGATGCTCAACTCCTCTGCCAACCACCATCTGCTATCATGCCTACTCAGGGCTAAATTCTGTATTTTTTTCATCTCTAAACTAATTATCCACCTCCATCCTCCATCTGAAAAAGGTCTAATGAAATGAATATCCCGATAAGAGATTTTATTGTTTTTGTAAGAATATAAGGCAAGAGTACGAAGTGGCCAGCCACTTGAGATGCTGTCAGTTCTCCATCCTACTGGAATTACACTCACTCTACTTTCCCTCCTCTTCCTTTCCTAGATCTATGTGGCTATCTGTGCCTTGTACCTCACTTCTCAGCCCATTCCCTTAACTAACTAGCAGGCTTCCCCATCCTCTTGGGCAACTTGCACTCATACGGTTGTTTAAGCAAGAACTTCAAGCTTGCATTGATCAGTATAATTGTGAATCACCGGCTCATTAGGTATGGAGGCCATATTTGAATGGCAAAGATAATTATCATGAGTTCCCTTTAATGTTATGGGCTTGTAACCACACCTTCCTGATAAGCTTGGTGAAATAGGCAACAGGGGTATTGCATAAGCATAGCCTGTAATCTTTGGTCCAAAGCATCAGTTTCCGCCATGAATAGTTTAGAGAAGTCTGGTAAGGCAACCACAAGCACAATGGATTTGACTCGCATTCTGTTTATTGTTGGGTTAGGGGCCATGCAATTCAACCATAATTGCACATGTTTTCAATGCAATCATGTAATCCTGGTTCTTTATGGATGGAGGGCCGTGGCCAATTATACATATTTTGAATTTTCTGGTCATGAACAGCCACCTTGCTCAGACAGGACTCACCTAAATACTCAATCTGTGGCTGTGCAAAGGTGCACTTCTTGGCATTAGCCACCAGCTTATTGATCAAGGAGTCTAAAACAGAGAACAAATGCTTGACATGTTGCTCTAAACAAGTATGTAATGAATAAAAAATGGAACAAATTTGCAAAAGAACTGTCTGAATAACTCCATAAGAAATTTGAGAGTTGATAGGTCATTGGTCAAGCAAAACAGCATGACCCAAAATTTTGTAGTGCTCCCCATAGGTCCAGATCGCAGTTTTATGCACATCCTTAATCTTATCAAAATCTGATTACACCTTGATTTAAGATCAATGTTCAAGATAAAGACAACTGCTTCATGTATGAGTGGGAGAAGGCAATTTTAGGCACATTAGGCTTAAGCTAATATTGATGATACCTAATTCAAGGTCAATCTTAGAGATGACAACAGCTCCATGTAATTCATCGAGTAGCTCCACGACTACTGGACTCCACGACCACTGGAATGGGGAATTTAATCCAACATTAACGCACTATTCAAGGCTCCATAGAGTCACTGCATAATCACTAGCCACTGTCTTCCTTTCTGAAGAGTAGGACTGGACTAGAGTAGGAACTCGTTTTTCTTTTTTTGAGAACTAGGAGTCGGAGCTTTTGCTGCCCCATACTCGGACTCGGGAGAAATCAATAATTTTTTATATTTAGAGTAGAAACTACCAGTAGCTTCTCCTGCACTAGATTCTTGATTGCATACGTTTGAAATTTGAGATGTAGCTAAGGACATAAGTTGACAAGGTATAGCATTACCTTTGAGACAATCACACGAACAACTTTTGTAAGGTGGTAATTGCCTAGTTGTTATAATACCATTGTATATTGATGCAAGATGTCTTTATTAAGACCAGGTATCTCTAGTTCTGACTTCTCTTCAATGGAAGCTATGTTGTCTAATTCTAGAAAAATCCCCAGCCCTTCCCTTTTAATCATCTTCGTCTTGCTTTGAAGATAAGTTAGGCCACGTTAACCCTGTATAGTCTCAAGAGAAGCTACAAAATGGAATTTCATTGTTGAAGTTGTATGGTTGACTTTTCTGGCTCCCAATATTCCAAGCCATTTCATCCCCAAGATCACACAGTCACATACATGACATCACAATCTCCTTGTTTTCCCCATTGATCGTGAAATTTCCTCTGTAATCTTTATCATCTCTAGCTCCAGGAATTAGTTCATAATTTACTTCATTGCATCTAGTCAAGATTTCATGTTCGTACTGGCGACCATTTTGTGGACTATTCAGGTACCACCATGATGTGATAAAGGCTTTTATTGTTTCTAGAAGAATATGTAAGGTAAGAGCAAGGAAGTAAGTCTGAAAATTGTTGACCCTGACTCCTACTGGAATTCTCCCTTCAGTAACACACTCTACTGAGCTTCCAACTACCTTTCCCAAATCCATATAGTTATCTAACCATTTCTTAACTTATTCCCTCAACCCACTAACAGGCTTACACATCCTGTAGTTGAAATTCCACTTCTGACTCCTAGCTTAGGTCTTCATTTGCTTTCCATTAGTATTAAGTTTTCCTTTGAAGAAGTATGAAACTTATCTGATCACAAGGAGAATACTTTTTTATTGATGATGCTGATCGGAATTACAGAGGCCAATTTGTATAATGACGTTCTGCAACTATACAGTTTGAACAACTTGATAAAAGTAACAGAATCTGATTTAACCACTCTTACTAGAATTAAACAGTAGTTACACATTGATTCATATATTGAACCAATAAGTGAAGTATCTTAGGGGCTTATCAGATCCAACCAAAGTGTTGCACATTCTAGACCTCCCTGACAAATCTACCCTACCTAATGCTAAAGATTCTTCATAATTGGAGTTTAAGACATCCTGCCTCGAGATAAAACATCCTCCTAAAATCTCACCCATCCTTCTCTCTCATCTTTAATAAATAAGCACGTCTTAAATTGATAATCGCCACATTCTCCTCCTTCCTTTCAAAAGGAGCCCAAGGACATCAGAAACTGAAAAAAAAAAGAGAGAGAGAGAGAGAGAGAAAGAGAGAGATCCAATTTCTATATGCCAAAGAATAGAGTTTGATAATAGAAAAACAGAGATGATATATATGTATACGACATCTCAATATTATCCTCAAACGGTGAGGTTTCATCAACAGAAACCCTCTAACTTTCCATTCCATTATAAGCTTGAATATAGTCAATTTACTCCATTTCTGCAACCCCCAAAAGGTTCATATGAATAGCATCCAAGATAATGGATCTACTTCTTACTCATAACATTGCATGAAAAGAGCTGAAACTATAAACGGAATACAGGAAATCCTTTGGCAGGCTTATATGTCTAAGAAAACGATACATTTTTTACAAAATGAAGGCTATGAAAGTAAAATTGGTTAGATTTTTTTTTTTTTTTTTTGAAACAGAATATAATTGATTAGATAACTAGCAATCAACAGAAGATATGATATAATTAGGGAAAAGAAACCCTACCACATGGATTTCAGTGACTGGCAGTTGATGCACAATAGAGCCAACAAATATACATATAATTAAAAAGAATAGCACTTTGATTGGTACCAGTAAAAAAATGACCCATATACCATAAAAGAATTCACCCCACAGATGTTTAACAATCGCAGCCTCATCCTCAAAAAAGAACATCTCAAACATTGTGGCCTACTATCTCGCGCAGCAAAAATAAAGCACCAGAACTAAATCAAATTCTCATGAAGTAACATATCAATTAAACACAGCCATATTAAAACG